CACCTGGACCCCTCGATCTATGAGCCAGCAAAATACTCATGCGCTCGCAATACAAAGCTATGCCCTGCCTGCTTGCCTGACACCTGGACCAAGAGGATCTATGAGCCAGCAAAACAAACATTCTCGGCTTTTCACTCGCGTTTCTTACTCCATGGCCAGCGCTTGGTCGCTGCGCGCGCGCGGCCCGAAACGGCACGGCGGCACATGGCGTGTCCAAGTAGCACGCTCGCTGCGCAAGGCTCAAGACAGCACGCCCGCTCGTGTCCGCCACAAGCGGCCCGAAACGGCACGCTAGCTCGGCAAGCGGAGGTCTGGGGTGCCTGGCTTGCAAATAAGCAAAAAGGTTATCTTTGGAACCTCAGCCAGGCAGAGGTGGAGCGCACCAACGGAAGTGCCCAGCAAAAGTTCTTGGGGTGCCGCAGCTTCTGTTCGCTTTCAAAATGTGACGGCGCCAGAAATCTCAAAGGTTAACTTGCTAGGCTCGAGTTTGGTTCTGTTAGCCAATGTCTTCGCTGATATATAGCTCCAATAGTTCCAAATCGCTAAGCACCCCCGCAGTTTTTTCCCCGTCGATCAGGAGCTTTTGCTTCTCTTATCCCAGCGCGCGGCCCGAGACGGCACGCCCGCGGCACGACAGTTTTTCTCCGGCTGACTCTACGCACTCTGCCCACTTAGCTTTATACCACGTAGTTTTTTTCCCCGCCGATCGGGAACTTTTGCTTTTCCCATCCTAGCGCGCGGCCCGAAGCGGCACGCCCGCTGCCCGCGGCCCGAAGCGGCACGCTAGGTCGGCTTCGCGCTCTGGCGCGCGGCTCGAAACAGCACGCTCGCAGCGTGATCTTTTTTCTCCGGCTGGCCCCACGCCCTCCGCCTACTTGAGCTTACGCCCCTCAGCTTTGTCCCCGCCGGACGGGAGCTTTTGCTGTTCTTATCCTAGCGCGCGGCCCAAGACGGCACGCCCGCGGCACGACAGCTTTTCTCCGGCTGACTCTACGCACTCTGCCCACTTAGCTTTATACCACGCAATTATATTTTTTGCCCGCACATCGGGAGATTTTGTCTTGCTTATCCTAGCGCGCGGCCCGAAGCGGCACGCCCGCTGCCCGCGGCCCGAAACGGCACGCTGGCTCGGCTTCGCGCTCTGGCGCGCGGCCCGACACGGCACGCTCGCAGCGCGATAGCTTTTCCCCGGCAGGCCCCAGGCGCTCTGCCCACCCGAGTTTATGCCCAGCATTTTTTATCCCAGCCGGACGGGAACTTTTGCTTTGCTTATCCTAGCGCGCGGCCCAAGACGGCACGCCCGCAGCATGATAGTTTTTCTCCGGCCGACCCTACGCACTCTGCCCACTGAACTTTATGCCCCGCAGTTTTTTCCCCGCCGATCGGGAACTTTTTTGTTTGTCTTATCCTACCGCGCGGTCCGAAACGGCACGCCCGCTGCCCGCGGCCCGAAACGGCACGCTCGCAGCGCGGTAGTTTTTCCCCGGCTGGCCCTACGCGCTCCGCCTACTTAAGTGTGTGCCCAGCAATTTTACCCCCGCCGCACGGGAGCTTTTTTTTCTTATCCTCGTGCGCGGCCGGACATGGCGCGCCCTCCTACCGCGCGGCCCGAAACGGCTCGCTAGCTCGGCTCCGCGCTCTCGCGCGCGGCCCGAAACGGCACGCCCGCAGCACGATACTTTTTCTCCGGCAGGCCCCCCCCCCCCGCCGGACGGGAACTCTTGTGTATCTCATCCTACCGCGCGGCCCGAAATGGCACGCCCGCTGCTCGCGGCCCGACACAGCATGCCCGCTCAGCTTCGCGCTCTTGCGTGCAGCCCGAAACGGCACGCTCGCTGCGCGCGGTCTTGCCCGCTGGACTTAATTTATACCCTATATTATCTATAGATCTACCTATCTATCAATCTCTCTATCTACCTCTCTATCTCCTATCTATCTATCTACCTCTCTATTTATTTATCTCTCTATCTCTTTATCTATCTAGCTAGTTATTTGTCTATCTATCTACAAATCTATCTATCTCTGTCTATCTCTGTTTCTCTATCTCTTTCTATCTATTTCTCTAGCTATCTCTATATCTGTTTATTGATCTATCTATCTACCCATCTTTCTCTGCACTTAAAAGTTGCGATGTTCAATCCCCGAAAGTTGACTTCGCGTACTACTTTCGTACTTAAAAGTTGCGATTTTCGAGCCCCAGCTGCGAAACTGGACTTCACGTACTACTTTCGTAGTTAAAAGTTGCGATTTTCGAGCCCCAGCTACGAAAGTGGACTTCGCGTACTACTTTCGTACTAAAAAGTCGCGATTTTCGAGCCCCAGCTGCGAAAGTGGACTTTGCGTACTACTTTCGTACTTAAAAGTTGCGATTTTCAAGCCCCGGCTGCGAAAGTGGACTTTGCGCACTACTTTCGTACTTAAAAGTTGCGATTTTCAAGCCCCAGCTGCGAAAGTTGACTTCGCGTACTACTTTCGTACTTAAAAGTTGCGATTTTCGAGCCCCGGCTGCGAAAGTTGACCTTGCAAAAATGCTGCGCCTGCCACCAAATCTGTGCTTGGCCTTGCGAAAGTGCTGCGCCTGCCACAAAATCTGTACTTGACCTTGCGAAAGTGCTGCGCGTGCCACGAATTTGCACTTGACCTTGCGAAAGTGCTGCACCTGCCACGAATTCTGTACTTGACCTTGCGAAAGTGATGCGCCTGCCACGAATTTTGTACTTGACCTTGCGAAAGTGCTGCGCCTGCCACGAATTTGGCACTTGACCTTGCGAAAGTGCTGCGCCTGCCACGAAATCTATACTTGACCTTGCGAAAGTGCTGCGCCTGCCACGAAATCTATACTTGACCTTGCGAAAGTGCTGCGCCTGCCACGCAATTCAAACCTTGCGAAACCTTCGCGCGGCCGTGCCAATGGGCCCGTCTCCGAACCCGTTCCGAGACCGTTCCGAGACCGTTCCGAGACCGCCTCCGTACAGGCGTCGCAGCCGAGGTGGTTTGCGCATTGTCCGGAAGCCTACTTCACGCACAGCGCCAACGTTTTCTGCATCTTGCCATCCCCCAGCTCGCAGAGAGTGCTTGCGAAAGTGCTGCGCCTGCCACGAAATCGATACTTGACCTTGCGAAAGTGCTGCGCCTGCCACAAAATCTGTACTTGACCTTGCGAAAGTGCTGCGCGTGCCACGAATTTTGCACTTGACCTTGCGAAAGTGCTGCACCTGCCACAAATTCTGTACTTGACCTTGCGAAAGTGATGCGCCTGCCACGAATTTTGTACTTGACCTTGCGAAAGTGCTGCGCCTGCCACGAATTTGGCACTTGACCTTGCGAAAGTGCTGCGCCTGCCACGAAATCGATACTTGACCTTGCGAAAGTGCTGCGCCTGCCACGAAATCTATACTTGACCTTGCGAAAGTGCTGCGCCTGCCACGCAATTCAAACCTTGCGAAACCTTCGCGCGGCCGTGCCAATGGGCCCGTCTCCGAACCCGTTCCGAGACCGTTCCGAGACCGTTCCGAGACCGTTCCGAGACCGCCTCCGTACAGGCGTCGCAGCCGAGGTGGTTTGCGCATTGTCCGGAAGCCCAATTCACGCACAGCGCCAACGTTTTCTGCATCTTGCCATCCCCCAGCTCGCAGAGAGTGCTTGCGAAAGTGCTGCGCCTGCCACGAAATCGATACTTGACCTTGCGAAAGTGCTGCGCCTGCCACGAAATCTATACTTGACCTTGCGAAAGTGCTGCGCCTGCCACGCAATTCAAACCTGGCGAAACCTTCGCGCGGCCGTGCCAATGGGCCCGTCTCCGAACCCGTTCCGAGACCGTTCCGAGACCGTGCCGAGACCGCCGCCGTACAGGCGTCGCAGCCGAGGTGGTTTGCGCACAGTCCGGAAGCCCAATTCACGCACAGCGCCAACGTTTTCTGCATCTTGCCATCCCCCAGCTCGCAGAGAGTGCTTGCGAAAGTGCTGCGCCTGCCACGAAATCTATACTTGAGAAAGCTATCTACGTGTTAAGCTGGCTATATGTCAAAGCTATCTATCTGTCATGCAAGCCTATTGGAAAGCTATCTATCTGTCAAGCTAGCTATATGTCAAAGCTATGTCAAAGCTATCTATTTGTCATGCAAGCCTATTGGAAAGCTATCTATCTGTCAAGCTAGCTATATGTCAAAGCTATCTATTTGTCATGCTAGCTACCTGTCATAGCTATATGTCAAAGCAGCTAGCTCATTTAGTTCCAGTACTACGGAAGTTTCTTGTTAAACTTCCTTTGATAAATCTATGTTTTTAGTTGCTGGCAGTTTTGGAGGAGCTTGGGCCCAACCTCAGCCTTGCCTCACATCTCAGGCTGGATTTTATTATCCGGCGACTCTGAGGATACCAGTCAGATGAGGAGGGATGCTCCCACATGCAGCCAGCTGGGAATCAGATGCCATGAACCAGTAAAACCATTCGTCTTCCAAAGGGCACCTAGGATCCTGGAGCTTGCTCTCACACTCTCTCACTCTCAAATGGCATTATGTGGTCTGCCAATGAAGAGCTCACCGATTCAGGGGCAACACGGGCTCACCATGATTTGGGTCCTTTATTCGGGGCTCCATTTTTTTGTAGAACTTTCTAGAATGGATTTCAACTTTTCCAAACAACACCAGCTGGTTTTTCTCCTGAATTCAGGAAAACATCTGGAAATCCATTTTCCAACCTACCTTCCAAAGTGAAAAGCAATCATCCAAGCTGGACTTGCTTTTCCTGAACTGCGTACCACCATTTTCTAGCATTTTTCCAAACCAAGCAACAAGAACCCAAATTCTATCCATCCTTTTCCCCCGACAAAAGCGCCTCCCTTCATTTTCCCACCTAAAAGATCCTGCTTGCCATGGAAACAAAAGCATGTCCCCCCTCCCCCCCCAAGGAAAGCCCTTCGTCGATCGCGTTTTGGGCCGGCCGCTTCCTTCCCCCGCCGAAAGCGGCGCGCCGGCCCAGCCGCGTGCGCGTCGAGCGAGGAGCTCTGGCTGCCCAAAGGCGCGGCGCCGCTGGTGGCCTTTGGAGGGCCTCAGGCGGAGCTCAGGTTGCGGCCCGGCGAGGCGCCAGGCGCGGGGTTGGGCGGTTTCGGCTGCGCGAGGGTTTGCGAGGGTTTCGGGGCGGTGAAACCGAGGTTTCGCCGGGGACTCGGGGGATTCGGGGGATTGCGCGAGGGTTTTGGGGATTGGAGTCGCCGGAAGAGGTTTGGGAGGTGTGGATGGTTGGATTGGGCTGGTTGTAAGATGGGTTGCACTGGTGGTAAGATGGGTTTGATGCTCAGGGAAACATACTTCTCTATATTTGCATTTTTCAAAGGGTCGCCTATGGTTGGGTGGGCGACCTTTTTGAAGGTACAAGAGGCCATTGTTTTCGGAGTCTTTTGGTACCCCAAATCCCCGAACCGATTTTTTTCGGCATTCGGCATTTGTATGACCCTTTTTGCTTGGTTGGTTTGAAGGGAAACCAAAGGGAAGCCACACAAATTGGAAGGTTCCCCAAAGAAACGAACCCAGTTGTTGCTCGGTTTTTGGGTGGGTTTGTTTTAAGGAACTCCATACCGTGCTTGGGAGGTCTTCGGTTTCCTGTTGGTTTTCCCTTAGAACACCGACAAGCTCACTCTCAAGAGTGAATCACCTGGGTGTTTGTTTCGTCAGTGGGAGTCTCTATACAAATGTTACACCCTAGACCAGTCAAAACCGGGACAACGGCTACGGGAGTTTCTTCGACATGCTCCACCTGATCATGTTCTTCCCAGCAGTACTCAAGCTATGCATAGCATTCTGGGGAGTGGGCCGAAACAGCCAAAGATTTGGCCAAATCACCATGCGGCGGTATAGATGAGCTTCCGGCTCGCTCGAGTCCCCGTTCCCCTCAAGAACCCCCGACCCCCGACCCCCGACCCCCCCCCCGACCCCCGACCCCCGACCCCCGACCCCCGACCCCCGACCCCCGACCCCCGACCCCCGACCCCCGACCCCCGACCCCCGACCCCCGACCCCCGACCCCCGACCCCCGACCCCCGACCCCCGACCCCCGACCCCCGACCCCCGACCCCCCCCGACCCCCGACCCCCGACCCCCGACCCCCGACCCCCTCCCCGACCCCCGACCCCCGACCCTCCCGACCCCCGACCCCCGACCCCCGACCCCCGACCCCCGACCCCCGACTTGCAAGTCTGGGCATCAACCCAGTTGAAGCTGAACCCTTTGATTTTGATGAGCAGCTCGTACCTGAGCGTCCGAAAACAAAACAATTCCACAAGGGCCACTTTTACTTGGTGGGGTTCCTACCTGGTTTCGTACAGCTCACAGTTAGGCTACACAAACCTTCACACTATCTGAGCAGAGCCAAAAGTCAAGAGGTTTGGGGCCTCACCTAATAATCCGCAAGGTTTGATCCCGGGTCAACCCATGCCCCGACACCATCCAGGCCAACAGTAAACCATCCATACCCCTAGCTCCTCTTGAAACCCATCTGGCATAGCGGCCAGTCGTGGGAAGCAACACTCAGATCCCCCCTATCTAATCACTATGGCATGGACATACAGAGGCTCTCATTTGTATTTGTCACTCTCAAACTAGCGGACCGGGGTGGCATTTGGTTTAATTTTGGTGTCCCCAACAAACGTGCCCCCCCAAAAAACACAAACAAACCCACACACACACACTCAAACCCATTTGAGAGGGGGTTACACCATACCTTTCTCTTGCCGGTGGATGGATGCACTGCAGGGAATGCCTTGGGCTCCCTGTGGGCGGGCCGGACCTTCTTCATTGCAGTGAGCTCCCCGCAAGTGGAGCCCAGCGAGGAGTTGCGCGGATTTTTGAGCCGTCCGTCAAGACTCGGGGACTTGGGCTTGGGGATGGTCATCTGCAAGGAGGGCGATTCCTGAAGGGTACCGTGACAGTCACGCCCCATGTGTGAAAACGGATAATCCCCAGGCAGAACCTGCATGGTGCCAGGCCGTAGGGAAGCACATTGGGATGGCTTCTTGTGACCATGGGCCACTTTGGGAGTCTTGACCCACATGCGGTTGGCGGTTCACAAGCCTCTCGGATGGCCTTGATCAGCAACTTGATCAGGGGCCATTAGGCCTCCTTGGGGGTTCTCAAAATCACGTCCCCCCCAAAACGGGCATTGGTTTCTTTTTGGTTTCCCTTTAGAATGCGCCCAGTACAGGTACCACATGTCATTTTTTTTAATGGGCACCTCAGGGGTTTCAGACACGGTTGTGAAGGTTCGGGTACGCTACCCCATTCTATGATACCAGAAAAGGGCTATCCTCACGTACAACATATGTATATATATATATATGTATAGTACATTGGCCACTCACAGACAGTGGCACCCTGTCATCGATCTTTCATGTCGGCTGGCCAGGGTAAACTTATCACGTATGCCCTTGTCAAGGATTGCCGGAATTCACCGGCCATGAATCCATCCTGTGAGCCTGTTTATTCTAAGCAGGTTGGCTGACAATCATAGAACAGCAGCATAGGGGGTTCGGAGGCCTATCTTCGGGAACAGCCATCCATTACATGCCCCGGAGCTTGATGCCCCTGCTCCAAGCTTGCTTCTGGCTTCTACATTTGTCCATTTATCAGATTTGATACCAACTACGCGTTTCAGAAATAATGGAACAGTGGGATTGTGCCAAGCCATGTGGCCATGGGTCATAACCTATGCCTCCATTTTGGGGCGCAGGAACGCCCTACCACCTATTTTGATGTTCACCAGGGGTTTCCTGAATTTTGACCGTCACGGCCATGTGTCAATTTGAATTTAGCACCGACTCGCAAAGCAAGAATCAACGTGTCGCAGACCCAGGGAAAAGCGCCGAGAACCGGCCCGCTGTGCGAGGAGCGTCCACGGCCCTCGCGCGCCAAAGGCGGGGCGGAACTGACGTCGAGGTTCAGGCCGGTGGTTTGGAAGGTTGGGGCAGAAGATCAGACGTTGCCCCAGTTCAAAATGGGGGGGACACCTCGGAAATTGGGTGGTTCTCCCTTTTGCCGGAAAAAGAACCAACCCAACACAAAGCCTCCCTCAAAAAAAAAGGACACCCACATGTACGCCTTGTACGAGTCTCATCTCCGAAGCCACCTGGAAATGCCCTCGACTGGGGGAAATGTGGTGCCGTATGCTTGTTTGCGTCAAGCAAGCAAATCGGGGAACGTTGGTCGATTTGGCTTGAGGCTTGAAGACTTGGCGTTGATGAGCCGCTAGAGTTCAAACCCACTAAAGTTTTCCCATTTTCCCATGAACCCACACCCGACTTTGACTTATATTCTTGGTGCGCCCGTCATAATTTTGGAATGTATGGAGAGAAAGACCACAGACCTCATCTATCAAAAGTGCTGTCGTGAGGGTGCCCTGTTGCAGGATGAATCGTATGATATTTCACCCAGATGTACTTGGTCAGCATTGATATAGAGTCTTGCACCCTTGGATAAACAAAACAAAAAACTACATGAATCCACAAAACACACACACACTTGGACTTTCGCTCGCAGATTCAGGGTCATGTCCAGAGAATGCCTTGACTTATGAGAACAGTTCAGGTCATTTCAAATGACAGGGCGTACGCAAGACTGGCCTTCCAGCGCCCAAGTCCCCTTGGGCCCTTGGGGGGGGTCTTTGGGGTGGCTTGTGACTGGAAATGACTCACCTTGTGTTCGAAGAGGCTGCAAGGGGCATGTTCGGTTCTACAAGCAGATAAGCAAAACGCCAAAGTCGTTCCTTTTGGCTTCCAGCCCCAATCCCAGGAGAGGATCAGCATATTTGGCCCCTCACTCCCTTGCAACGAAACAACCAATGCCCCTTTCACAGGGAAACTTCTATCACCCCTACGCGTGGACCTGTCTTTGGCCTTCCTTGCGGCATTTGGGTCTCTTTTGCAGCAGGGCTTTGCAGTTTTTTTCTTCTTCTTTTTCGGGATCTCGCATAAGCTTCCTATTGAAATGAGGCATGAAATGAAGGATCTGGTGGCATCTGAGGCGCCAGACCCTCCTCCCAGGCGGGGGCAGTTCGGGCGAAGAGCAGCAGCTTGCAGCAGCTTGCGCGCTCATCGAGTGGGGGAAACGGAGTGGATTTGCCAGTTGAGTCGATACACTTTAACTTAACATGGTACCATTGGTTTTGACCCACAGCCATGTTTGTTACATTATTTCTTTGTCATATGCGGCCATTGGCCATGGACGATTGGACCTTTGCAGGTAGTTGCAACACAAATGGCAACAAATGTCACAACTTTGATCACAGACCTGCAGGGGGCCTGTCATCCTTGAGCCAAACTCCAGGCATTCAAGCTGCACAGATGTAATCCTCAACCTGGGCACACATGATAGACATGCCCAACCAGTTTCTCGGGTTCCCTATTTGTGTTTTTTTTGGAGGGTATCCTTTTGGTGGCGCCAAATGGACCCCACCTATTGAAAGGGGTTCCTCTTGAGACCCAATGGATGTTTGGGTTTCCATTTGGAGTGGTCGGAAGAAGGGGAGCTCTGGGCCGCTGCGATCGTCCTATGCTCTCGTCCAAAGCTGGCATCAACCCCTGGCATGAGCCGTGGTAGTTTCTATGATGGAACCGGTCCCGACCGAACCGGTGGAATCGGGGTCCGAGTTTTTGGACCATTTTGCTTCCAAAGGGACCAGGTCCTGAACGTCGGGTTCCCGTCAGGTTCCATGTGAAACGGGTGGGAGGCTAGGTGGGTGTGGGTAAAAAATAGGTACCCAATATAGAACCCTGGTAAATGGAAACATGGACTAAAACCTGCTGTTCCCTGGTTAATTTTGACCCATACCCAGGTCGTCTCAGTTGGCTTTGTTTTGCTTTGGTGGTCTTCCATGCGGCTGGGCTGGCTGGGCGCTGGGGTCGGTGGGGCCAGGGGCCGGACCTTGGCTTCCACCTGGCCCTGAGCGATCAGCAGGCCGGGTCTCCGCTCGCGCCGAGGGTTTCTTAGGCGTCAGCAAGAAGCAGAGTTCAAAAACCAGGGCGTTAGATGAGAATGGGGGGGTCCCTCCCCCCAAACTGTTGGTGTGCCTTTGTTTTTTGTGTCCGGCGAAATTGACCAAAACAAACATTTCCTTAACGAAAACAGGCACAACCAGAAAGCCTCCAAAGGCTTGAAAAGAAAGAAGGACCTGGCGAGTGAGAGGCTCCAAATAGCTCAAGACCGCAAAGGCTACCTCGGCGGAACCAGTGGCCATACCTGTGATAGGGATCCTATCACGGGGAGAGCAACATCACATAGGAATGTGGGTGATACTGCACGGGTACCAGCAGCCCCGGATCCAAGGAGAGCTTCTGGTTGAGCGTTGACCTCCATTGAGGGACACCCCCTACTTCCCTGGGTCAGGAGTTGAACCGTGAGGGCAAACATATGGGGTCTCAAAGTAGGTTCCTGCAAGACGAATCCGCTGCTCCTTTGCTCCATTTGGAGCCTTACACCAACACCCAGACAAGAACAGAACCAACAAATCCTTGCTTTTTAAACAGGGCTCCTTAAAAGATACATTTTGCCCATTTGAAACATGGCTTTTTCCACCAACATAAAGGGACACCACCATTTACAAGGCAATGTTCAGTTATATAATGTAAGGATCCCTGTTAAAGGGAGACCAACAGAAAAACCGGAACACCACCAAAACAAACAGCAGTCTCAGCAAACACAACAAACAGTCAAAGAAGCGCACACAGCAACAACATGGAACCCCCTCAACAGTGGTTGATGGACATGAACCCCCGCCAAATTGTGATGTCCACCAAAGGGTCCGCGACTCATTGAAATGCGTGCCCACGTCACACAAAGACATCACGTAAACCAAAGACTTCTTATTTATCACACCCGTATCACCAATTGCCCAGGTTTAATAGAACCTACCCATAGCACGAAAAGCAACGCATCACACAAAGAGCTCACACGAGCTGGGTGTGTCTGTATTTCGGGCATTCCCCCAAACAACCTCAGGGTTCCCTGCGGTTTCTCTTTGAGCACCACCCCCCAACAACTGGGTTTTCCCTTCCAACACCGAATAGCGAGCTATTCTAAACAGAACGACCCCCCCCCCCCCACGCACGTCACACGTCACATCACCCGAGCCGCCCCCGCGTGGGGCCTGGGGCGTGGGGCTTGAGGCGGTCTTCAACAACCTCGGGGGCCAGGGCCCGGGGCACTTGGACGAGAAGCCGCAGCTCACCTTCCAGCGGGTGGGGCGGATGCAGCGCGGAGCTGGTGAGGCGCCGGGAGCTGTGCTGGACCTGGCCGGGGCGCCCAAGAGAAGCTGAGAGGAGAGGGGGGGGGTGGGGTGGGGTGGGAAGGGGGGCTGGGGGGTGGGAAGGGGGGCTGGGGGGTGGGAAGCGGGGGGGTGTGTGGGAAAGGAGGGGGGGTGTGGGGTGGGAAGGAGGGGTGTGTGTGGGGTGTTTCTTGTTTTTGCCCCCCCGTGTTGATTCCAGATTCCAACAGATCCACTCACGTGCAATGGGGCTGAGAAGGAGGGGGGGTGCCGTGGACGCTTGCTTCCCCCCTGCTCCATGGCGCCCCTCCCGCCCCACCCCGAAACCTCCCTTAGTCCCCTCATGGCGCGATTTAGCCGAAGGGGGTGCTATGCAAAGGCTATTGAGGGAGGTTGCAAAATAAACCCGAGCCCATCATACCAGGGGAGGGCGGTTTGGGAGGAGTTCGGTTTGAGGGCGATCAGGGGCCGGTTCGGTTTGGGGGTCGGGGTCGCGGTTGGCTTGAGGAACAAATGCGGGCAACAGGCCCCTCACACAGGTGGCATGAGAACGCATGTCTTGCTTGCACACGCAGCTGTTTGGCTTGAAGGTGCATGACCAGGCCGTTGCAAGTTTCTTTGCTTGGAGGTTCGCTGGCATCTGTACTCTGGAAGGCTGCGGAGGAGTGGACGGTGACCCCGCCGATAAGCCCTTTGTGCTGGGAAGCTCAGCCTGGGTTCCATCTGCCTTCGTGGGTTGCTGGCCTCCTGTGCGGTTTGCTGCTGGTTCAGGTTTTGGACCTGTTAGCTGCTGCTCGGCACTTCCTCTGGGCCTCGGCACGCGCCAGAACGACTCGCTCTGAGGGCCCGACCTACAGGGTCCTTGGATGAACGGGGAGGACGCTCTGGAGAGCCTTGCTAAGGAGCTCGCTGCTCTCCGGCTGGAGAACTCTGGGCTTCGGGAACGTGTTCGCGATTTGGAGGGGGACAAGGCTGGATCCGAGTGTTCTTTTCTGCTGGTGGAAGAGGAGGCTTCGGGTAGTGCTGGTAGGCATCCTTCCGGATCGGGTGCGGTTCCGAGCCGCGAGGAACGGCTGCAGGTCGTACGGGAGATTGGTGACTTCTTCAAGCGTGCTCTGGCTGGGGACCATCGACGGAGCTCAGGTCGTGACAAGGTCCCGCTCCCTAGTGTGATCTACGTGGTGCTGCGGAATTTTGAGGGCCAGGATTTCACTACGCCTCAGATTTTCACTGAATTCCGGGCTGTGAGCCGATTGTGCAAGCGGCTGCGGGGAGAGTGTGTTTGCTGGCTTCCCCAGCAAGTGGGAAGCTGAGGCAGCTATCTTGGCTGCTGGGTTTCCCTCGCCGTTCACATCGGCGTGATGGCTGCCGCTCCGGCAGCCTCTGCAGAGGAAGGTGCCCTGCAGCGTTGGCAGATTGTGGTCAACCAGGAAGTGGATTTCGATTACCTGTTGGGGATCTTTAGTACAGACAATCCAGAAGCAGGTGCGGCAATCACCTCCTCGCTGGCAGTGATTTCACAGTTTGAAAACCAGGTTTTGGTGGCAGTTCCGGCTGGTGTCTGGCATAGGACAGTGGCCCGCCGGGTACTACCTCGAGCGCTCTTCAGAAGCCGGTTCTGGTGGAAGTTAGCGCCAGTGTGGACAGCGACAGAGCTAACCGCATTCGAGGATATGGTAACCTTCGAGGAAGACACGGAGCCCGAATATGGCTTTGTGGATGCAAGCGGTCAGCTGGCCTTACCTCATGCTCAGGCGTTGGTGGATGTCGGGAACGATCACTTTGCCTTTTTGACGGCTGTCTCAGATGCTGGCGCAGAGCCAACGAGGCCAGGCGAGGCGATGCTCGACGACCGGATGACCCTACTCGAGGGGCAGATGGCTTCTCTCCAGGCCGGAATGCAGAAGCTGCTGGCGCAGCCGTCGGCCGCTCAGCCTCCGCCCATTGCGCCTCCAGAGCAACATGCGTCAAGGAAACCGGCTCTGCGTCGGCCGGCGTTGCCGGGGCTTGCAGTGGATGTGGTGCAGTCTGCCCTAGCTGCCGGAGTTCCGGAAGCACATCTGGACCGGCTCCTGGCCTGGCTGGCGGGGATCTGGGCGAAACCGACGACGAGGACGAGGCTGCCGGGGACACAGAAGAAGCAGTCGGTCCGCCCACCCCCCGAGACCCGATGCAAGTGGCGGTGGTTCAGCTCACGAGGCTGGTTTCCGAGATGGCCAAGGAGAAGAAACAGCCGAGCAGGGGTCTCGAGCAGTTGCTCGACAAGGCAGAAGGCGGCGGAGGCGAAAGCGGAGGACTGTCCGGAGCTCGGTCAAAAGCGCTGCGCTTCGCGCCCCACGCGGGGCGCTATGCAACACACCGGAGCTGCTCAGTCAGAGTATCGAGACCCGATGGAGGAGGACCTGCTGTCACGGCGGAGCGAGGGGGCTTTTTCCGGCACAAGGGCGACAGCCCGCGGTTGGCTGGAACATCGGTCTCGGCTGGGGTACTTCCCGAATACCATCAGGTGGGGGTGGGCCGTGGCAGGGATCCTGGATGCGTTGCGGGACAAGAAGGAGGCAGAAGCTCGTGCTCGCGCTGGACTTCTACTTGCGGCCCTCGACCAATCAGCGGTCGACGGAGGTTCTTGGCTGCTAGCGCAGGAGGTTCTGCTGGAGCCCTACCCCCCCTTCTCGGCGTTCGGCCGGCGCACCGGGTTGGATCAACTGGAGAGCCCTCAGAGCCGATTGCTGGATCCCCGTTGGATGGAGCTGTTCATTCACAAGGTAAAGGAGCAAGACGCCTACGGCGAGGTCCGAAAGAAACTGGGCCGCGCTCAGAAAGGCGCAGCCCCGGAGGAAGAGAACGTCGAGAAGAAAAAGAAGAGGCTTCATCTTCGGAAGGGGCAAAGGGAGCGGGGAAGCATACCCCCGCGGCAACGAACTGAGCAATAGTTCGCAAGGGGGCGTGACACCGCCCCCGGCAGACGGACCTCCGTTTAAAGTCGAAACAGGTTCTGGTTTGGATGTGTGCATGTGAACGCTCCCATGGACCTGCTTTGACTTCGGCTGCGTGGTCCGGCAGACAGGTGTCAGACTTTGAACGCCCCGCCGCTGCGAGCGTTGCCGAAGCCCGAGGCCTACCTGAAGCGAGCGCACTTGACCCTTTGCCTAGCTCTTCTACCTCAGCGCAGGGGAGGCGTTCTCTTGACCCTCCTTCTGCGGTGTTGGGTCGGGGGGCACGTGTGCTCAGGGAAGGTAGGGCTGCAAGTAGCCAGCCGGGGCGTCCCATCCTCTTGCCGAGCTCTTCTACTTCAGCGCGGGTCTGTCCTTCGGGGCATGATACTGCGATCGGCGGTCGGGGGGTGATGGGTCAGGCAATGCCCGCCCAGGATGGCAGGCTTACTACGGGCCAGGCAACGAGCGCCAGTGTACCGGGCGCGACCGCATCAGCGGTGACATCATCGTCACTGTGGAAATCAATTTTTGACGGAGTCATCCAGAACAATGGAGATCTGTCAACCTTTTTACGGAGCTCATCAGCAATTGAACAGTCAGGAGCGCGGGGGCGCGCCGGAATCTGGCCCGTGCCGGTTTCGAGTTGTCACTCCTGGGGCTCCAAAAACCCCGATGAGTTCGGCACGGAATTCACCATAGCTCTGATGAACTGGCTGGTAATGGGAAAACCTCGGCGTGCTGAGCTGCCTGGGAGCTGCCGGTCTTCTGCTCCGTCAGCGCGAAGTCGTTGTGAGGAGATTTGGATCGAGGGCCGCGCCCGGGTGAAAGCAAATGTGAAACGCTGGAACGAGGTAGCAGAAGTCTCGGCCGAAGACATGGGCAGAGCGGCTGTGAAGGTGGAAAGCATCGAGAAGCTGGCCGGGTATTTGGAGAGGAATTTCGGAGACGCCACGCTGGCCGCCGGCCTTGTTGAGACGGACCAGGACCAAGTGGTGGGGCGCAGCGCTCTCAATGTGAATGTGGAGTTCATGGCAGAGGAGGTAGAAGCGGAACGCCTGTCTTTTCATGGAACTCCCAGTTTCGACCCCCGCCCGTACCTGGATGCTGAGAGTAGAGAGATTTTTGAACGGCCGCTGCAATATGCCCTGAAAGCGCATGAGGTTTTCGAACCTATGCCGCGGGTGCGGGTGCGAGCTTCGAGACAGCGAAAACTGGACCTGCTCGCCACTCTCAAACAGATCGGCTGCTGTTAGTTCCTACTCGGCTGGTGCGGGAGGAGTTTCCAAACGGAATGTTTTGCATCCCCAAGGACCTGCATCCCCAAGGACCTGAAGAGGGATCGGTTGATCCTGGACGCGAGACGTCCGAATGCTGCGGAAATCACGTTTGAAAAATGGCTCCCTTCGTTGGCCTCAGCGTGCAATTTGACAGACTTGATGTTGGAGCATGATGAGATAATTGAAGCGTCGGGCGAGGACATTCGTGATTATTACTATGCCTTTCAGGTTGGTTTGGAGCGGTCGCTGCGAAATCATCTGGCAGGAACGTTCGCCCCAGCAGAAGTGTCGCATTTTAAAGCTTTCGAACCTTGGATGATGCAGGAACCGCGGCTGTCAGCTACCTTTTGCAGCATGGCAATGGGGGATGTTAACGCTGTAGGATTGGGCCAGGCTAGTCATTTGGGCGTGATTTTCAGCACTGGTACAGTTTCCGCAGCCGAGCTCATGTCACTTCGGTCCCGTCCTTCTCGAGGCCTTCTTTCAATCGGGGTTGTGATTGACGACTTCATTTGTTTGGAAAAGGTGCTCCGAGAAACAACCTCGACTCGTATTCGTAGTGCGGAAGTCATGGGTGCTGTGCAACGGGCATATGAGCAGGCTGGACTACCTCGGCACTCGGGGAAGAGCTTTTTCCGGGAAACTACAGCGACTTTTTGGGGAGCTCAGCTTGACGGCGAATGCGGCGAGGTTTGGCCAAACTCCGCTCGCGCTGTGCCTCTGGCAGCCATTACTCTTCGGATCGCGCATTTGGGATTGAGTACGATTGGGCTCCTCGAAGTATTAGCGGGCAGCTGGGTCTCGGTATTGTCTTTTCGGCGCCGGACGTTGTCCCTGCTCCAGTGGATCTACATAGCACAGCGAGACCGAGATCGCCGAGATGAATTGCGGCTGTCGCCCGCTCTGCGGGACGAGCTGTTTACGTTGGTGATCATCTTGCCTCAGGTCCGGGTCAATTTGCGAGCCGACATTTATCCTTGGCTTATTTGCACTGATGCTTCCAACCAGGCGGAGGCTGCAGTCGAGGCAAAGCTGAGCCGAACTATGTTGAAGGAGCTCCATTGCCATGTGCTTGCAAAGGGTCTTTGGGCCCGTCTTCTCAGCCCGGGATCCGCTTGGCTTCGGACGCATGGACTTCTTGATCCCGGGGACGAACTGCCGGGCGAAAGCTTGAAGACCCACCCACTATGGAGTTCCTTGTGTCGGTGTTTGCGTTTTCAGCCCCTTTTCTCGCAAAGCTCGCCATATTAACCTTGGGGAGTTGCAAGCTTATCTAGATGCCGAAGAGGAGGTTGGTCTGCGGTTCCCGGGGTCTCGAGCTATCGTGTGCAGTGACTCTCAGGTTACGTGCGGAGCAATTGTAAAAGGCAGAGCCACGTCGGTCCATTTGAATCTGTTGCTCCAGAAATCCGTGCCGAACTTGTGTTTTTTAGGTATCACCAGCTCCACAGCTTACGTTGCCAGCAGTGACAATCCTGCTGACGACCCGACTCGACAGAGGCCAATCAGATCCCTGCAAGCCCGAACCCGACTGGCTCCGTGCTGGAGAAGTCGGAGAATTCGGCCCACTTGATTCCTTTTTGAAAATCTCTGGTCATCTGCCGGAGCAATTGACTGGACTTCCCTACACTGATCTTGGGGTGCCCTGTGACGTTAGTCGGCCCCCCCTACGCAGATCGGAGGAAGTCCGAGGTGCTTTGCAATTTGATGTCCGGAGATTGGCAGAAGACCACCTTCATGCTGTGTCAGGAAAACCGGTGAAACAGCCAACGAAGGGGACGGAAGAACCCCAAGAGCCTGCTGAGCCTTCGAACCATCCACCGGAGGGGACGGCAAAACCCCAAGAGCCCTCAGGGCCGCCGGCGGGGACGGAAAAACCCCAAGAGTCTCTTGGCAGCCCTAACCCTAGAGCTACCCCAGAAGAGCGTTCTTCGCCGCCGGAGAGGACGGAAAAACCTCAAGAGCCCTTCGAGCCACCGGAGGGGACGGAAAAACCCAAAGAGCCTTTGAGCCGGCCTAAACGGCCACCCCTTTTCCGGGCGGGGGGGCATGCTGACCCAGCTCTGACATCTTGGGTTGCGGGTGAACTGCCTGCGCTTCTGGGTGGATACCCTTCGGCCCAATTTCTTTGGAGCAAAACTAAGTTTTGCAGCCTTGAAGACGCTCTTCAACATCCTGGGTTTTTGGATTTGTACTCCGGCTGCCGTGGTGTGCCTAAGCAGCTGGTACAACAGGGGGCAAACTGGTGTATGACCTTCGACTGGTTACACGGTCCGGGACAGGACCTTTTGGATCGGCACACCCAGGTAGAGATTCTCAGGCTTATTCGTGCCAAGGCTTTTCTCGGGTGCGGTCTGGCGCCTATTTGTGCTTCGTTTTCTTCGGCTATTTGCCCTCCTGTCAGAAGTTATGAATACTTGGAAGGAGTGCCTTGGGCCTCCCCGACCATGCAGCTCAAAATGAGGCAAGGCAATGCCCACTGCAAATTCTGCGTCGAGGTCATCAAGGCTTGCTTGAGTTCTGGCACTCTTTTCTGGTTGGAGAACCCTGAAAACTCGTGGTTGTGGAGACAGGAGGCCATTGCGGAGGTAATCAGGAAGCAGCATCTACTTTTCTGGCGGTACGATTGTTGCCGGTTTGGAGAAGCTTGGCGCAAGCGCACACGAGTGCTTACAACCACAGTATTGGCTGGGACGCGGCAACTGTGTGCTGGTGGGCAATCTATGGTGCATCGATGCAATTGGACGAAGGTTGCGGAAAGTTACCCTCTTGGTGTGTGTAAGCGACTTGCTGCCGCCCTCTTGACGGGGGGTGCCAGTGATGCCGGCGCTTCGTCGGCCTGCTCAAGGTCGTTGAATGTTCGCATTGGAGAAGCCAGCAATCCCGGCCCTGGCTCTCGGACTCACAAACGTACGGGGTCGTTGCTTGAGGTTGCCCTCCTGGAGCCAAAGACAATTAGCATGCGGGAAAAGTTGTGGGACGTTTTTCTGACTTGGCTGCGAGCTCAACTTTCCAGCGAGGCTGTGACATCTGTGTTGGAAACCCCCGCCCTCCTTGGAACAACCCTTCGAGAATTTGGAGAAGTAGCTTTTCAGCGGGGTCTCCCTTTGAATAGTTACCGGCAACTCCTGGCTCACGCTCAGCGACAGTTCTTTGGCCTGCGCCCTTACATGCCTTTAGCTTGGGAAATGGTCACGCGGTGGGAGACTTTGGAACCTATTGTGCATCGTTTGCCATTGCCGGTGATTCTGATGAAGGCCCTAGTGGTGCTTGCGATTTCATGTGGTTGGGATCGCTGGGCCGGCGTCGTGGTGTTAGCTTTCTTTGGGATTACCCGCCCGGGAGAATCCATTAATGCTCAGCGGTCGCATTTGCTGCTACCACGAGATCAACTAATGATGGGGGATCCCGGAGCTGCTGCATACTTGCGGATTCTTTCTCCTAAAGCAGGGTGCAAAAACTCAACATGTGAAGGTTTGCGATGCTGAAGCGGTGAAGTTTTTGGATACAGTATTCGGAGCTCTTCCCCCTTCTTCGCCACTTTTTCCTGGTACAGGTGCAGCTTTTAGGCGGCGCTGGGACTTTCTTCTGGGGTTGTTGACCGTTCCGGCCAGTTCAAAGCTGACACCGGCTTCGCTGCGCTCGGGTGGAGCCATTGCTGCATATCAGACGGGCACGAGCGCGTCTGAGCTGCTGTGGAAGATGCGCTTGAAGTCCCTGAGCACCTTGGAACATGACTTGCAAGAGATGGCAGCCTGTTCTGTCCTGCCAAATTTGCCTCGGCAGGCCAGAAAGAAGATCACAGCTGCCTCTGCACTTTTCAGTGTCGTCCTGGCATGCAAATGAGCTCGCGTTGCAGGCATAGCATGATGGTGGTATGGGTGGGAGCAGCGCTCGGCACTGGCTCTCCTGTTTAGCCCTGTGCCTTGAGCCGCTCGCAGGTAAACGCACTCTGAAGAGCTGCTGAGAGCTCTGAAAACAGCTTGTGCGGGCTAGACATGAGAACGCATGTCTTGCTTGCACACGCAGCTGTTTGGCTTCCCTCCCGCCCATGGGTGGGAGCAGCGCTCGGCACTGGCTCTCCTGTTTAGCCCTGTGCCTCGAGCCGCTCGCAGGTAAACGCACTCTGAAGAGCTGCTGCGAGCTCTGAAAACAGCTTGTGCGGGCTAGACATGTTTAGTTTGATCTGGGGAACGGGATTTCTGAGCACAATCATTCAGGAAGTGTGTCTGAACTTAAATAGGGGGATCCTTTGATGGACATGATTTACAGAGCTGATTCCAACTCTAAAACCGTGATCGCCAAGTGGATTTTGGACACAAAAAGGCTCATTTCGGCAAACCGCAAAACGAGTGGTTTGCACCAGAAGAAGCAAAATAAGTGATTTACGCCAGAGGACAAAACACATCACCAAGCAACCGCCCCAAAATGAGTGATTTATCCAAAAGAAAAAATAGCTAAAAAGAACCCAAAAACACACCACAAACAGTTCACCCGTGGCCTACGAAAAAATATCTCCCGCCCCACTGCCCACTGCCCACTCGAGGTGGTCTCCGCCTCTGCGGGCTACCGGCCCCACCGGGCGGAGGCCAACGGCGCCGTCCGGGGCAACGTGGCCGTGAGCGCCGGGGCCCCAAGACACCGCCGTCCCTTGCTTCAAGCGGCTTGGGGTAGACTTAGGATACAGTTTTCATTTTACCAGTGATAATAATGATAAATCATGGTTATTATGTCATGCCATAGGGATATGACTCAAAGTGAATTGATTCAATTATAAATAGTGTTTGTATGACTCAAAGTGAGGCAAACAGTAAGATATGCATTCTATAACTGGGCCTAGCTCTAATCATGTGGCCGGTTGGGCCCGGGTGGGGCAACGGCCGGTTTGGGGGGGGGCAAAGAACAAGTTATTACCTTCTCTCGGCGTTGGTTTGTTTTTAGACGGCCTTTGGTGTAGCTGTTTTGCCCAAAAGATGATTTTATGGAAGGACCATCGAACCATGGCAGATTCCACCTCTCACCATTCTTTTGGAGGAAGGAGCATCGAAGAACCCCGAATTGGTGGGTCAAAGCGAAACAACCACATTTTCTGCCTTTGAGCACTTCCAGAAACCGAATCCAAATAATGACCCTAGTTAAAAGACCTGTGGGCTGGTGAATATCAAGTCAGGTTTAAAGATCAAAACCTGGTAATGTTTAAACCCCCGTATCAATAGCCCCCCCTTGAAGTTTTGCACCCACAGCCTTCTAGTGCCTTCTAGTGTCCAGTGGAGGGATTTCCATTTCACCCACGAACAGTTAGTCACTCTTAGCCCAGCTTTAACCCATTTAACCCAGTCTTTAAACCCTTTCCATGTAACTCTTTTTTCCCACTCCTCACGCAGTTTTAGCCTTTTTCTTCACTCTTCTCGTGTTTCGCGGGGGGATGGGTTTGGGCCGCCCCATTTTCGCTCCTGCCGAGCCCTGGATGTTCCACCGACCCGGGATCGTCCGCAGGTGGCCTCCGGAAGCTCCGCGGAGCTGCGGCTGGGCTTGGTCACCGAAGCGGGCCACCGGCAGGCGGCAGGGCTCCGGGTTTCCTCGCTCGGGGCCGGGGGGGGGTCGGTTTGCCCCATTGGGGCGGCGTTTTTTTTTTGTTTGGCGGAACATGGGAGGTGTCTCGCGAAACGGCGGGACAAAAACAGGAGGTGGAGGTTTGAACTCAGCCCCCGAGCTGATGGACTTGTTAGTCCTTTTTTGTGGGGTTGGACCATGTTGTTTGGCGGCGCCCAGGGTCTTGTTTTGGGTTATGGCACTCGGGAAGTGAGTTGAGGGTACCTTCTTGAGCTTGCTGCCAAAAGGCAAACCAAAAGGAGCATGATCATTTTGATGGTGCTCCTATTTTGGCACATGTTTTTGTTTTTCTCTTTTGCCGGGGGGGGGGGGGGGGGTTCAAAGAAAGGACAATTTTTTTAGGGTATAGAAACGGCCAGCTTGCGGTAGCTTTCGCTTGGCGGTGCTGAGGGAAGCTCGCTCCGCTTTCTTGGAATGGTACGGCTGAGAGATGGCAAGTCTCTGGACTTTTTCAGCTTCTGGACTTTCTGGGGGATCATGTGGCTGTGGTTGTCAAAACCGTTGTGGTTGATCCCATTTTGGGGTAGGTGAATTCACCACCCATTTTCGAACCTATTTTAGTGGGGATTGGCATGTTCACTGGGGATATGGGATTTTGACCCATGGCCATTTCAGTGGTCAATAGCAACTCTTGCGGCACATGACTTCAACCAAGCTCGCCAAAAATCGCAGTCCTGCTATTGGGCCTGCTGACTGTGTGACTCGACAGGCTGTCGTCAAAGTGCCCAAGTTGTACCTCTCTGTGTTCGACACGGAGGACATGCGCCGGCGATTGTCAGGGAAACTCCTTACCCCAAGGAACCATTCTTTTCTTGGCCTGGGGATTGCTACCATTTCTTATAGAACCTTGGGGCAAAGAAAGCGGGGGGTCAAAAAGGGAACCTGGGAAACATCTCAAGCAAACGGAACGGTGCGTTTCGCCTGTCAAAAGGTTAGAAAAGAGTTGGTAAATTTTGAACAGTCCGCCGGCTCCTTTTTAAAGGGCACGGACAAAAGAGGTTTTTTCGCACGCTTTGAGTCGAGCTCCCCCCTCCCCCGAAAAATTGCTTCATTGGAAGCAAACCCTTGAAGAGACACTTTTAAATTGCTAACGACACGGGGAAACAGGCTTGAAACGCCCAACTTGGCACATCCATAGGTGTCCTTTTTAGGTGAGCCTGGTTAAAAATAGTTTGGCTTAGATGGCACCTATAGACACATCTCGACATGAAGGTTTCTCGTCTTAGGAGCCGAGGCGGCTCTCCTGCAGCGCCTCTGTGAGGGACTTCCAGGCCGGGTCCTGAGTCGGTTTTCGTGGGATTTCGCTTTGGGCTCACTGGCCCAAAACGAATCGACCTTTTAACCGTTTGGTTTTCCAATTTTTGGTCCCCAATTTGGTCGATTTTTGGTCCCCAGTTTGGTTTTTCCAATTTTGGTCCATTTTTGGTACAGGTCTCCAAAGATAAACCTTTTATTTCCACGTGCTTTGGGCAGGTGAGGCGGGGGGAGTTGTTTTGGAGCCTGGGGTGAAGGGGGGGGGTTCTTCCCTCATGCATGACTCATGCAGCTTCGGGGTCTTCCCTCAGCTGTGAATCGTTCACCCAGGGTTCCCTTCGGGGACTCTCCTGTGAAGGCAAGGCAAGGCAAGGCAACGCGAAGCCAAGCAAAACCAAGCAAGCAAACAACACAAAAAGACAACAGCAAACCCAGCCATGGGTGGCATGTAGCCGAAAAGGACCAGGGGTCTCTACTGCGCGGAGGCCTCGGGTTTTCGGGAAGGTTTTCGGGCTCAGGCCGTTCTCTTCGCCAACGGCAGCGTGGCGGACGGCTTCTCCTTGTCCTCCCCGCAGGCCTCCAGTTGTTGGGGCGGCCTGGGTGTGGCTCGCCTCGTTTTGAGGTGACCCGTTTTTCGGGGGCTGGTTCAAAGGGACGGCAAAAGGACCGAAGCCTGTTGGGCGACTTTGGTAGGTTTTGCGGACTGAGTCTGAAAAAGGCGTGCAGCATTTTGACCTTCCAGAGGAGAAAGGAAAAACAGAACTCGCACAAATAAACAGAAAGCCACACCTAAGGAGGGCCTTCTTGGTCAGTGTTTGGTTCCCCATTGGCCAGAGGCAGGGTTCCTGGTTGCTCGCCAAAGACTTGTTCGTTTTGCTGAACAGGGATTATCGACCTGGATCCTGAAGCACAATGATTCCTATTAAGGGAGCCATGATCATAGGCCATAGAAGGAATGTTGACCATGGCTCATGTATTCATTTGCTTGCTTGAGCAATTGGTCTCCTTTGGGTGTGAAGGCCAGAAGCAAAAGGGCGGGAACAACCAACAAATCGTCATTCCTTTGTGCGTGATGGACATAGAACATCAACCAACAAAGCGCACAACACAAGCAACAAGCAGCTTCTCTTGAAAGGGGTGATGTGAATCCGTGCAAACTGAAAACAACAACATGCAACATCCAAGAACCAGTGCATCCGTTGGGTGGGGAAGCGCAAAGGCCAACATCACGCGCAGTTACGCATCACAACCAAGCCGACATCCCCCGGGCCCTTTTCGTCAGGTCTCAAAAGGCGGGCAGTGATGTTAGTTTTCTTGAGATCTTTGAAATTGTAAATTTGAAATGAAGCTCCCCTGCAGGGGTGCATGACAGCCAAACATTGAAGTTGTACAAACACGATGAACATCAGGAACACCCCAACCACAGAACTTTCTCAGGGACACCAACTCAGGTCCCTCAGGGTCGTGAGAAATGGGCGGCGCCCATGTCGCCGTTTTTGGGTCGAACGTCGTCCAGGGCTGGGCGCTGCCGTTGGGTGCCCCGGCCACCTTGGCCTTCGGCGACACCTCGGAGATCCAGGTGACGCTAGAGGCACCGCCAGGCCAGCGGCGGGCGGCGAGCGGCGAGCGAGCGGCGAGATGGGAGGGGCTCGTGGAGGAGGTCAACCGTGGGTTTTTGGTTTGGTTTGGGTTTGGTTTGGGGTGGGTTGGTTCGGGTTTGATGGGTGCTGCTGCTTTTTGGTGTTGTGGTTTTGTTGGGGTGGGGTGGGGTGGGTTTGGTCGGGTTCGCGGTGGGTTGGAGTTTGTGTTGTACCATTTGTTTGGGTGACACCTCAAGTGCATTCCCTCAACTTACCACTTGCAGGTTGGTTGAAAGCCGGTTGCCAACGTAATATGCTTGGGCGCCAAGTACCACGTAAGGGTACCATGACAATGATCTGGTGTTTTGACAAATGAAGCATGAAACGCAGGCCGTCTTTTTGTTGCATGTTTGGTGAACTGTTGGCTTGTCCTCGGGCGATTCCATTCGTGCTCCTGGGACGCCTTTTTTCACCACGTTCGTTGTGGCGCTTTGGAATCGCCTGAGGCGGCAAAGGGCAAATGGTCATGGCCGTTTCCTCATTCTGTGGCAGTGGGCACGGGGTTTTCTCTCACCGGGCAACCCCCGGCGCCTTCACTTCGATGGCAGGTGGGTGCACCTTTTACCTTTCGCTGCACTCACCCGACCTGGAGGCCTTTGGGTTTTCGGCAAGGTGAGTGCGGAAAAGAACTCTTTGAATGGGTGCTTTGTGACATGAAGGGTCCCATCCAGGTGGAGATTGAGGGTTTCCTCTTGGTTCTATAAGAGCCGACATTTCCCGTGCACGTCTTGTCAAGCCACGGTGTGTCTTTCAGCCAAGGTCCTTTTAACTTTGGCGCATGCTCGGATGTTAGGACTTTAGCTTCTTGCCAACTCGTTGGTTTTCCGTAAACCACGAACGGTTCCACTTTCGGCAGAGCGGAACGCACGCCCTGGCTTTCAGGGAGCCACCAAGGACCCCACACCTTTCAGGTGAGTCGGAAAGCACCCGCCGAAAAAACAAAACTCGGCGATCTTTTTTGACAGCCCGAAGCAGGGAACGCGGACATCCTTGGGTTCCTTTGGGCTTTCCGTTTCAACACACCTTCCATCATTCTCGTGAGTGTTTTGTGAAACAAAGATGGCCGGTTCCTTTGTGGACCCCGCCCAAAAAAGGCCGTAAAAATCAGGGTCCCCAACAAATGCTCTCTGAACATCTTGTCCAAGGCAAGTCAAGTGGGCGACTAATGTTTTATGGTGATGTTTCTAGATTCTTCCTTTTTTAGAGGGGAATCTGACCATTTTTCCAAGGGTTGAGTCTTCATTCTCTTCCTTCCGTTCAGAAACCTCCCGTTTCCAATCGGTCCCGAGCCTTTTTGCAAAGAGAGGATTGATCCCGGAGCAGAATGGGAAGGGTGCGGCCAGAATTTGGGCCTGGTCCTGCGGACAAAAAGCAAAAATAGATTCGAGGCTGCGCCCGAGCGCGAGATTGCCCACCCAGGCGCGTGGGGGATAGTTCTTTGAGGTTGCGGAAGGTAGGCAAACCCAGGCCGCACAAAGGATAGAGGGGTTTATCATGGGTAGGGGTGTGATACCATAAATTTAGAGCCTTTGGTGAGTGTTCAAGCCATCAAGATTTGGTGTCCGCAAATCTGGTTTCCGCAAAGGCGCTTCTGAAGAAGGAACAAGCACCAGGTGTTCCTTCGGCGCAAGACTCATGGGTTCCTTTGGACCTTTGTTTCCCCCTGAACGGGACCTCCGGCCCTTTTCGGGGCCCAACCGACGGCACGCGTCGAAGCGTGACCATTTGAAGGGCTGCCCGGTTCGGTCGGAACATCCAGTATACAATCTTTGCGTCCGGCCTCACCAGGGGCCTGCCACAAACTCGGAGGATCTTCGTCCAGAAGAACCTATCACAATCCAGTCCTTTCAGGGGGAAGCAGACAGTGATTTCCGTCAGAGTTGGAGCATCATTTTTTTTTTTGCAACGAAGTTACTGAACGGGGGGTAAACCGAGAGATTCCACCCTGAAAGTTTCTGGATTTCTAGGTGGTTGAGTCACCTATTCAGCAACTTGCAAGTCTGGCTCTGTATCAGAAGTCTTCAGGTATGGGTCCTGGCATGGGGCATGTAGGCTCTGAAGTGAGTTTCCTAGGGGTGATGCTTTCGGACACGGACACCTCGGGAAGCCTGTGGCTTACCGCAGCTTCAGGACCCGTAGCTGCGCATCGATGCCTCTCGGTTCAGTGCAGACTCACTTGAGTCAACCTATCAAATGAGGGGCCTGCGACCGTCGGATCCACGGGCCTTCAAAGGAATCCCAGGCAATGAGTAGCAGGGCTCAGGTTTTGGCATGTTGCGAGGATTCCACCTCCGCGCCTGGTTCGTCATGGGCAACTGAGATGTTAAAGGGGGCTCTCTACTTTGAGATATACCCGTTCAGGTACCACTCGACGCAAATCATAGCATTCAATCTAAGCAACATACACACATGACACACACACACACGTGTATATATATATATATACACATAGAGAATATGGGTCTGTGTCAAAATTCGGGGGCCCTTAAATGGGGTATTCAACCTTTTGGCCACCTGTAAGACCAACCCGAAAACGGGTACAGCAAAGCATTATGCACTCTTTGTTTAACAGATTCTATGTAAGATCTGTGCTTAGTGACACACAACTCAGTTCAAACTTCTTACTGATAGTGCGCATAAGTTGTATCATCAAACTAGCCAGCAAGGTCTTTGCCAAAGGCCCCGGGCTGAAGTCGAATGGCGCTTCTTCCGCTACGGTCCACGCCGATTCAGCTGCGGTGGCAGCTGGTGGGGGCTCGGAGAGGCGTGCAGTAGGTGGAAAGCGGGTCGAGTGCAGCGGGAATTTAGTTACTCTTTGGAACGACGGAAATAACCTTCCAACCTCTTTGGACATGAGAGGGTCAAAGACGATTGGGCTGCAACTTCCCCCCAACAGTGTAATCCGGATTCCCTCCTAAATGGCTTGCGCCCAGGGTACAAGTTGGTGGTATACCAAACTTGACCACACAAGGCAGGTTGCCAACGGACCCGGCCCGCAGTTTCCAAATTTTACCCGTAAGGTTTAGCCCCCTTGTGAAGAAACCCACCCCTGTGGCCAACAGCCAAAACAAGCTGGTTTCAAACAACTGCACCCCATCCGAGCTTTTCTTGCTGGTGCTCAGGGAATGAGGGAATGACCCTTACACACCATCCAACTGGTGGTTTCCTTTCAAGGACCAATTTGTGGGTTCATTCCATTTCTCATTCCCCAGCAAGTTTTTTCTACTTGCCTTCGGTTTTTGGGGGGTCGTCTCCAGGGCCGCCGCTGCGGCTGTCCCACCGCCCCAAAAGCGGCGGCGCCGCCGCCTTCGGCGCCGCCGCCGCCTTCGGCGCCGCGGCTTCCGCCGCGGCGTCCGCCGGGTGGAAGCTGCGGCGGCGCGCGGGCGCCAGTGGCCCGGCGGAAGGAGAAGCCCAAAAGGGCCAACAGTGGTCTGACTCATGGGCACAAGAGAAAGAGTTCCCAAACCGGGCTTTGGAGGCAAATGATTCTTCGCTCACTCAAGTACAAGGCCGCCAAAAGCCGGCACCCCAGTGGCGACTTGGAATCCTCTTAGGCCCGGACCACTACAGTTTGCTGGGCCTGTCGCGGGACGCGGATGCTGCGGAGATCCGTGAAAGCTACGAGAACGCCCGGCGCCTGGCTGAGGCGACCGAACCTGGGAAAGGGACGAGGAGCCGAGGAGCCGAGGGGTTGGGAGGTCCTACTAGGATGTCCTTGGGTTTTATCCCACAAATAACAGGGTTTAACCCCAAGGAAGAGTTCCATGTGGGTGAAAAGACCTAGGTTCCCAACAACTTATTAACTTAGCTACTTAGCTGATGGTTGGAAGGCATCCCCCAGCGCGAAAGTTCAAGTTAGGCCTTAGACGGTGGCTTGGATTGGTGGGGACTGGGGATTCAATGCCCCCGAACCTCCACCACCAATCCAAACCGCCAATGACGGCTTCACGGCCGAAAAGAGGCGAACAGCCACCGCGCAAGTACCCAGACCCCCCAAAACTAGAAAGACGCGGCGGCGCGCCTTTCCACGAAACATCGGGTCACTTGGTTTCTTGGGGGGGCCACCTCTCAACGCTCCAGGGCCTGGGCAACCGGCCGCGCGGCGAGCTGCTGAGGCCCGGGCTTTTTTTCCGCCGCCTTTTGGGGCAGACGTCTTCCAAGTCGTCCCCGGAAAGGAGCCTCTTTGGGGATTTTCATGGGGGATTTTCAGCTTTTAGGGATCATCTCAATGTCTTCCAAATGGGCCCCGTTTATGTGTGAGCTGGGCCGTGCTGCTTTCGCTCCCCTTTCGCGGATGTGTTCCTTGCCTTCTCCAACTTTGCCAAAGCCAGGCACTGCTTAGGCAGGGGCCCATTTCGTTGTCACTTTGGGTTCTCTTAGTGAGATGCTCAGTCACTTTGACCAGGAGCCAAGTAAACCATCACCTTGTTTGCAACCTCAAGCGTCCTTCGCAAAATGTTTGGATCCCGGTAAAGTTCCGCTTGCTGATTTGAAGACCTTGTGTTTTCCTGTTCGGATTTTCAACTGAAACGCTTGTGAGTGCTTAGATAACCAAGTTCATGAAGTTTTCTCCAGGCACTTTACCCTAAAGAGAACAATTGGGGTTCCAGCTGCGACTAGCGTCCACTTGAGACGCAGGACCCCCCCCGACCTCCATTGGTGCTTCCTGTTGCCATTTTTCAAGTCCGCCTTGAAACTCAACTTCCAAAAACAGGGTGCCCAGTTTTGAAATGGACATCCACCGGAAGCCTGGGTGTAAGACATTTGCCCACTTATCACCTACTTTCAAATTTCTGGTTTCGGGGCGAATCCCTACACGCTTGTTGCTATCCGAGCGGCTACCCATGCGGCAGCCTATGGTTGGTTGTTGCAGGGGAAGGTTACCAAGTGAGCATTGCCCCAGCTCAGTTTTCTCTTGGCCATTTAGGCTGTATAGTATACCCAGTTTTTTCGGTGCGTCATAGCAAGGCCAAGGGTATACCGTCACAACCCTTTCAGGTCTACATGAACCTTTACAACCACTCACTCATTTTCGGAGTTCCGGGACTCAATACCTGTTGGGCTTTGACCAGTTGTTTTTCTTCCCCTGGCCAGCACTCCTCTCGTCAGCGAGACCATGTTCGCCAAGCCCCCAGCCAGGTCACTGGAGGAAGCTTTCCAAGTGCTCTCCCATGAGGCCTGATCGAAGGGCGACCCTTCGGTGCGGTTTGCTTCGGTTTTGCTGAAGCAAACCGAATCCTTGTGGATAACCTCTGCAGCCGAGCGAAGGTGGCAAAATGGTTGGCGGTGGGCTGAATCCACTGACGGAGCTGTGGATCCCGTGGCCAGTTTTTGGTTGAATCGACCGGAGGCCTTCAGACCCTGCTGCTTAGGGCTTTTTTGTGGGTGCAAAGGGAGTACCAGAGGCGAAACCGGTGTCAAAAACAGGGATTCGGACCTCAACAACGGAGGTTTTCCTTGTGGTTCTGCAAAGAAAAGCTGCACAAAGGCTAGCAGGTAAAGCTTGGTTGGTGTGGATCGGTGGTTGAACCGGGGATTTGAACCTCTGGATGGGAAGCCCGAAACATCTCTAAACAGCGCTCCAGTTGTCTGAGCCCAGAGCCCCACATGGCCTCAAGCTACGAAGCTGTGGAGTAGATCCCTTTGGTCAAGGCTCGGTTTGGACGCGGTTGCCTGCATCGGCTTGTTCCATTAATGCTCACTCTTGCTAGCTTTGGTTCGTCAAGCACGGTTTGCTTGGGGTTTCAACAGTATCCCTCAGTTGCCCTATTCCTTTTCTCCCTCACTCTCTCTATAGGGTCTGGTTGTTCACCAAACAGATGCTTTGACGGAGCTTCCGGGTCTGGTTGTTTCAACCAAAGGACCATTCGGGCCTGATTGTTTAAACCAAAACGAGTCGTGTGTTTTCTTGAGCAAGCTTAAGTACAAGGGCCTCTCATTCCATACCTGAAGTGTTGATCCACCAAGCCAACTGGCTGGCGTGTTAAGGATGACAAGAGTGACACCCCCTCTCTCTTGTTATTTAGGGAGTTCATCTTTTGTGGGGATCTCTTTCTTCCAAGAAATTTGGGTCCCATTATTAATATCTGGGCAATCTTCTTACGTGGACAACCCCTTCGGGAAATTTCGTCATTCGTGGGAAGCCATGACCACCCAGAGTTTAAGGAAGTTTTGCCTGGGCTTTTTGGTGTGACCTTCAACCTTTTGACATAACCCTTGGCCCCCCTCGTGAGCAAGCGGATGTCACTTTTTGGGTACTAACAACAAGCCAGACAGGACATGGTTGGTTTGTCAAGCCAGCAGACGCTTCATTTCGGAGGGATAGGAGCCACCAGTGTTTCCCACAAAAACCGGGTCAAACCCCAGTTACCCTCATTTTCCCATGTCCTTTCTTGGTGGAAAATCTGCGTCATCCCTCCGTGCTCTCTTGGAACAGCGTGCGTCATGTTCGCCCGGGGCGCCAGGACCTGCGTGCCCAGTACGACGCCGACGGCGCAGCGGCGGCGGCGGCTTCGCCAACGCCGCGGGGGCAGCTGGCGGCGGAGGCCAACGTGGTACCCGGGAGCGGCCTGGCATGGGGAAACGGAGCGACCTGCGTCGGGGTTGTGGTCAAATGGGGGTCTCAATATCCTTTTTCAAATATGTATCCTAAATTATATGTTTTTTTTTCTTCTTCTTTTTCTTTCTGAAAAACCAACCCAAAGGGAGAATCATCAACACAGACAGCACCTCTTGTGTACCAATAGCGCCCAAAAGCACATTCTACTGGCCAGTGAATTCGCCGGTCCTACACCTGGTTCTACCGGGTTAAATTGGGAGTGTGAGGCACACAAATGACACTTTTGTAGGCACCCGTTTGGCTCCGAGCCAACATTTATTCTTCATTTTGTTGGGCGCAGCTTAGATGCGGCACCGACTCCATGATTTATGGTTCCGTTTTCCCTGGGTACGCAGACTTGATCTATGGAGCTGGGGGCCAGTTTTGCTCCTTGCCTTCACCTTCAGGGCCTTTGGCACATGGGTGTGTCTTTTTTTGAAGGGGACCAGTTCCTTGTAATTGTCTTACGGGAAATCAACAGAACATCGTCCATTTTTGTGGATCAGATATGATCAGTGGCTAGTAGTGTTGATTGGCTTTTGAGGATCAACTTGCGCCAACTTGGGCCAGGAAAAGAAACAGGTGCCAGCGTGAGTGCGATACATTGGGGACTTGGACTGAGCCACGAGCAACATTTGGGCAATAGCTGGCGTTTGCTCCAGACACAAGGCAAGAGATTGGAAGGGAGTAGACTTTCCAGGATCTTTCTTCCGACACGCCCAGCATGTAGGTCTTTTGAAAGGAATCTCATGTATTGCTGTATTGCCATGGTTGCTTGGTGGAATTTGGCAATAGAAAGTCCACAAAAAAAGACCAACGTGGTGTTCGCCCTTTGAAGGCTATTTGGCTAAGCTTTGCCTATTGCAGTGGCACCGTTTCGTAGGTTGCGATTAGTTTTAGGCCACACGTGTTGAACTAGGTTGCTCTTGATTTGAGGTCCTGATTGTATTGGTATGTCAGTATGCCGTGTGTCGACGTGTTTGCTGCAGTCGTGGGAGTTTCCGTATTCTAAAAGGGGAAGCATTCTGATGGCATGGGAGTACGGGGAGCTTGGTTGGTAGAAGTACGGGAAAGCCGGGCTAAAGGAAACCATTGATGGTGTTCCAGCCAAGAGAAAACCAAAGGAAACTAATGGGTGTTTCTTGATTTGAGGGTATCGTTTTTGGATGGGTTTAGATGGAAACCAAAAGGAAACACCGTTTGTGCGCCCGGGTTGCTGAGGTTGAGATGTGATTGCAATATTTTTTTTGATGTGGCGAGGAATAGATCATACCATGTTCTACGAAGCTTTGCCGCGTCGTTCTTGGGTGTCCTTGTTTGTGCGTGCCTTTCCCCGCAGAAGAGCATCAAGGAAAGTCCTGAGGTGAACATCCTGGCGCAATGTTTGGACAAGCAGAGCCTGTGGAGGTTGGCTGCTGACATATGGGCAGGAGTTGTCAACACATAGTTTGCCAGAAGGCAGCCTGCAGAACACGGAAAGTGCAACTGCGATGTATGCACGGAACCCATTGCACTGGCGATACATTTCACTGGTCAAGCGAGCTAGTCAGCACGCTTCAAGGTTATTGGCCACCTTTCGACTTAGTGACTTGTCCAATCAGTTCCAAGAGGCAGGTGCCGACGTGACCACAGCAGCTTACGCTGGCTGCAAACTTGCATCGATAACCCCACAAATGCGCGGTCATGTTTTTGAGGCAGTGGCGAGAACATTGTACCAGCAGCTGTATCCGGCGTCTCGCATGTCAAGTCCTGTGCCAGGTTACGATTGCAACGGTTCCAGACGCGCCGCCTGGCAAGCGGAGTACGACTGGTTATGTGATGGCGATCGAGTTCAATGCAAATCGGCCCAGTTGTGCTGGCAAGGCGGCCGCTCGCGTTGGCGATTCCAATTTGCTGGGGTGAAGCTGGCACTTTTAGATCGCTTGGTTTTGGTCATGTACTCGCCAGACCAGTTATTGTTGGTTGAGCATGATTGCCGTGATGGTTTGGTTTCCACAGGCGTCGTCACGGCCACCCGCGGGCACCAAGTTGTGTATGAAGCGCCGCGTGGCACCACATGCCACGTGGGGGCAGTGTCCCGCATTTGCACCCGAATTGAACAGACGGGGACATGCAGGAAGCTATGTACATTGAGAACCAGCGACAACATTGTGTTGCAGGCACTAAGCAAGCATGAACAATCTTCAAAGTATCAACTTGAGAGTCTTGCTTTCCAACATCACCCATTTCAGGGTAAAAGCCCATCGCTCCGTGGCCTGATCATCCAGAGCATGGTGCAAGAGGTGGACCGGTTGCTGCATCCGTCGCTCGTGGCACCAATCAAAGGGGAGTATGGCTCCAAGTGCGACTGGCATCACAGAGGCAAACGCATCGAGTGCAAGCACTCCAGAATCGCGTGGGCAAAAGGCAGGGGCTGGTATTGCAGGTTTTCAGGTGTAAAGCCTCAACACTTTGACCTTCTTTACCTTGCCCTTGACGGTCCAGATGCTCTGCACATTTTGCAGTATAGCGGATCTGCATACATGGGAAGGGCCGGCATGTTGAGCGACACGGTGGGGAAAGCGATCCAGGTTACTGGACCTTCCCGCGAGACGGACTGCAGAGTATCCTTGGAAGTCATATTGAAGAAGCTCTGCAGCTCCGGTAGCAAGCACGTTGCCTCAGTGGCGTGGTGAATTGCAGCCGCTTTGCGCTGGTTTCTCATCGCGCTGCAGATCCTGATTGCCTGAAAAAGGACACACGTGTGAGCAGATCCTTTTTTCCGTTTGATTTTGTTCTCGCGACCACGGCGGGCGCTGAGTGAGTCCTTTGTGCATATGGCAAGTCCATGTCGTTGACCTAGCAATTCCGAGAGCCTTTAGCCAACGGAATTGAAAAAATAAGAGATCTGGTTGAAACCACTTGGACTATGATCATAAGCACAGACTTGTGACAAGCACGGGCGCTCTGAGATTTTCAGGCTTAGAGGTCGCAGGGGCATGTGCATTCGGGATCCTGTCTTAGTCAGGGGTCCCTGTATTGCTTCTCCTTGAGAGCCTCTGTGCGCATGGCATTTGTTTCATTTTGGCGTTTTTGCTTCTGTTCACAGGTGGCAGGGCCTGCACAGTTCGTCTCAAAACGGCGGACCCCGTAAAATGGGTTGATTGCTTTAAACATGAATGGCACCCACAAACGAGACACACGAGTGAGACATTTGTTGACCATGGTTCCACGAGGTCAGAAGGTCTATTTGAAGACCTTCGGCTGTCAGCACAACCAGTCTGACGGGGAGCCCGGGGCCCTGGCCTCTCGCGATCTCTTTGTTTTCAGCTGGGTTGCATCCCAGTTCTTGTCGCCATTGCAGTAGGTAAGTAGGGACAGTCATCCGTGGAACTTGGGGGGGGGGGTGCTCTTGAACTCTTGACGCCAGAAGAAGCAAGCCGGAAACGGGCCAAATGCCAAACCCTCCCGTTTTTGGTACGAGGTATATGCTGGGTCAACCGTCCCAGTCCTTCTCCGGCCCACGGTAGGTTTCAAAACGCTCAAGCAAAAGACCAAACGAAGATCAAGCACGAAACAGATCAATCCCCGAAGTGCGCTTGAAGACGGAAAAAGCAAAAGGCACACCACCCAAAGTTTCCCTTGACACTTCCCCCTGCCCGAAAAAAAAAAAAAAAAAACGCTTGAACCACAGGCCTCCCGGAGTACATGATGAGTCGGGGTAGTGCTTTGAAGGCAGTCTGATGTGATTTGCTTCGGCCTTTGGCTCCTTGCTCCCGAGCAGAGCGAGGCTTGGAGGCCGCAGTTTGTTGCAGCGGGGGAAAATCATGGTTGAACATGGGGTTTAGGGCCAGTTTCTTCGACACCAAGGAGACCCCCCCACCCCCCGTTCACTTGCGCACTGCTCGATTGCTGTGAGGGCTGGAACCCTTGAAGGGCGGGGGTTACTTTGGGCTGTTTTGCCTCCCTTGAAAGTGAGACTTCATGGCCCGATCGAAAAGGTTGGGCTCTTTGGACCTTTCATTGGGGGGCCAAAAAAGCGCCAGGGCCCCTGTAGGTGTCTGTTTGCTGGATTCTTTCACGGTGGAAAGAGGGTTTCAGTCTCTTTGGTACAGACAGGGCCATTTTTATTTTGTACAACTAGTATGGGGGGAATCAAACGTCCAGCCCAAGAGAGCCAAATGCCTTGCATTTTCTTGATTTGTACGTGTTTTGTTGCAAGGTGGTTGTCTGACTTCCTGATGTTTTTCCGACTTTGCTGCTTGCTATGATACTTGTGATGCACAGGATCAGGGTCGAAGAGCAATGCTACAGCTTGGGCTTGTCTCCTTGGCTCGGCGTGTCTTTTTGGAGGTTGCTTGGGACACATGGGCCAAGTTTAGTCTAAGCCATGTCTCGATGTGGCCGCGGTTGTACCAACATTCGCATGGGAGCAACTCAGGTACCCTATTCCAAAGTTTCAAAGGGTTTTTTCCAAGGGAAACCAAAGGGACAACTGCCATTTGGTAGTCCCAAGCGCCCAACTGAGGAACATGAAAACGAAAACTGATCAGGCCCTTGGCTTGGTTTGTATTTCCCGGTAGCGTTTTAAGCCGGTTCGCCCGTTTCTTCGGTTCCAAGACCTTAGTGGTTGTTCTTTTTTCCTTCATGTTGACGGGCCTTCCTTTTGAAATCCTGCAACCACAGGGCGCGCATTCTTTGGCTCGCACGGAATTCCGTCGGGGGTCGGTTCTTTAAAAAAATTAAAAAATTAAAAAAACATGAATTCCCGGGGTCCGTTTGTTTTGTTTTTTAGGCAAGCATCTAGGGTAGATTTTCGACCGGCCCGTTTAGGTTCTTTTTGGGTCCTTGCGAGGTACATGATGGGCCAGCTCTCTGCGCACGGCTACACCCTGGTGCCGTCGTTGGCCCAGGCGGACGTCTGCGTGGTGAACTCCTGCACGGTGAAGAACCCCTCGGAGAGCCGAGGGCTGCACTTGGCGCCCTGGCGGTTAGATTTTTTTCGGAGAACGAGAACGAGTCAGCCGTAAGCTGCGTACGTCTCATGGGTCCAAGTTGTTGGTTTTTCAAGGGAAACCAAAAGGGTTCGTCTCAAAGTAAGGATTCGGATCCCCACAAAATGGGTTCTGCTCGTTAGTTTCCCTTTTGAAACCAACCAAAAGAGGGTTCCCCCCGAAAAAAAGACGCACGGCGGCATGTCAATGGCGTGCTTTTGGAGGCTCGGTACCCTTAGGGTGGTTTCCAGGGGTATCAAAAGGACCACCATCAGTTTGGGAGTCCCCTGTTGTGATTCTGGGCCCCAAGTGGCAACTCTTGTTTCGAGTTCATAAGATTACTGGGGTGGTGGGGAGCTTACTATATAAATATCGTGTACAAGCATCCAGGGGGGGTAGAACACGCATTTCACACACCTGTCGGTCATTTTTGGCATCTTTTGTCCGCTGGTGTGAGATGTTTTATGCGTGGCGCTTGCGCTTTCGAGGTGTTTTTCTCTGTCAGGGGCTTGTGAAAACAGACCCCGTATGGTTTTGACAGGCTTCTCCATAGGTGTGCCTTACTGCAAGTCAGGGCACATTTGGAGATTGATTCTCTAATTTCACGACTGAGCTCGCGTACCATTTGGTGTTGCAAATGGTGGTTGGTATGTTTTGTTTCAGTGGGCTTCTGCGAGGTCGATGCGTGTCTCTTTGTGGGTACTTTGTTTGGGGTTGGTTTAGGGCAGCCAAAGGTAAGAAACGAAATCGGGTTTGGCGTCCGATTCCTTTACGACACACTCGGGGAAGTGACTAGGGTGCCCAGAAATTGTGGATGCCCATGGGACAAAGTAGGGTACTGGCGCACTTGGAAAAGCCGATTTTTCTCAAGCGTTCCCAAAGGAGAAGTTGAGAAAGAATGCGCAGCGCGGATGTTGGAGTCGAATTCACTGGACTCCGAAGAATCGGGTCCGGGTTTTCCCGCGGTTTGGTTTTGGTTTTCCCGCATCAACCTACCCTCCAAGGGGGAGCTTTCGCCTGGGAACAACACACACACACACATAGCCTCATGCCAGTGTATCTACCGGCATGGTTTGGGTGGGCTTGGCCATTGCTTAGAGCCAAGCTTGGGTCTGTTGATCAACTTCCAACTTCCACCCAGCAAATAGTTCTTCTCCCGAAGATTCCATAGAAGTCATGAGGAACCTTTTGACAACAGGAACGTTTGCTTGGGAAAAGGGTTTTGGGAGCTTGTTTACTTGTTGGTCAGTCTGACCATGTTAGGTGAACACGGCCAGACAGCTGCAAAAGCAGGCGGGGCTGCGGTTTTGGGCCGGGAGATGGAAGGCTCACCGCTATCCATAGGTGGGATGTGGGAGGGGAATGTCCAACTCGCTGAAAGAAAAAACCCTTCCAATTTCTGAGGGCCCCGATGTCGCAGGGGGTCGCCTCCCAAAAAGGAGGCGAGACTCCCAAAAACATGGTGAACTGTGGGCTTCCATGTGAATCTGGGAATGTCGGGAAGCAAGATGTCGGTTTTTTCGATGGTAAATGGTAAAACTGGAATCAAGATTGTTTGCGTATGTCGGTTTTTCGACCCCTGCGGCTTTCAAGGGAAACCAAGAGGAAAACTACACATTTGGGGGGGTTCCCTAAAGGAAAGACTCACACATTCACTTCAATCGGGTAGCAGCCTCACCCTCTAATTCCCTTTTTGATCAGCCACAGTATTTTTCTACCGGGTTTCAACAGAACAACAACCAACGGCAAAAAAAGCCCAGGTGATTCAAACAAGCAACCCCAAACACTGAAACAGACAGCCAAGCACGGGAAATACACAAAAGCCTAGAAGCCAAGCAACCAACCAGCAGCAACGGAAGCAATTTTTCCAGCGGCGGTGGCGCGGCTTCTTCTTCGCGCCATGTGCAAGTGGCACAAGAAGACCCGCCTGGGGTTAGAGTGACGGATGAACTTTTATCCAGGAGGCCGCCATGGCCTTCATGGGCTCTTGTTTTCTTTTTCTCCTTTCAGGGCGCCCCTCTTCGTTTTTCGGTTTTTGCGGCTTCAAAGGAAGACCAAAAGGGAAAACCGCAAGGTTGGGGTCCTCCAAAAAGCAGACCCACCTTCATCTTGCGATCAGGCAGTTCACTGGCTCACCGATCTGGGTAGGGGAAGCCCAGAAAGGATATGGCGAGTTTCCTTAGTTTTTCAGCGGGATCCGGCCCCTTCTCAAAGCTCATTTAGAGGGTCCTGTTTACCTTCAAACCATCAATTTTGATTCCTTAGTTTTTCAGTGGGGTCTGGCTTCTCAAAAAATCATTTAGAGGGTCCTGGTTTACCCTTATCAATTTTTTGAGGGTTATTTTGAGGGTGTCACACGCAGGTGGTGCTGGCTGGATGTGTGCCCTCGGGGGACACGACCTTGGCCAAGAAGCTGCCTGAGGCGCGGACCGCACGCCGAGGGAGAGCTGGGAATTGTTCAAAACGCAAAGTGAGCCCCCCCGGTAGAAAAATCGGGCGCCCCCAAAGATGCGGCTGAGCGCTCGTTCTAGACCAATTAGAAAGTCCTCCAAGTGGGGTTTATATAAACCAAGTCAACAAGGGACTTTCTGCTTGGGGTTGCTGTCCACACGCGAACTGGGCTGGCCATTCAAATACATATTCCTAGTCCTTCCTAATTTGGCCAATTGATGTTTGGCTGTGAGTTTTTTTTTTTGGGAAACCAAAAGGACACCGCCCATTTTGAGGTTGGATATATGGAGCCATATGGACCATAGGCGTCCTTTTGATTTCTCTGGTTCAGATCGGTTTTATGCCCCATTTACCAGGGAAACAAACCCCTCGATTTTTCCTACAAGGTCACATGTGTATAACCAGGGCCATCATTCTTCCAAAAGGTCAACTATTCATATGGGTGTGTCATTTTGTGAGGGCACCCTTTTTGGGGTGGCTTCAAAGGGACAAAACAAGAGGAAAGCCCCGATTTTGTGGGGTCCAAGCTTGAAAAGACGTCGCCATCTCCCACCAAAAGTCCAAGACTCTTGGCAAGGATTCCGCGCTTTCCCGTAGGGTCACCTAGCTCGCTGTGTCCAAGAAACCATATGCCGTTCCCTTAATTAACCCGAATGGTTTGCTCAAAGTTTGACCAACCTGGATCGTTTGCGGCAGGCTTGTGGCATGCCCGGCAGGTTCTGTTCCGGGAGTTCAGGGCGGGCTGTGGATTTCATTTCTACCACCAAGGTTCAATGTCCGAGTGTCGCATGTGCCAGCCGTTTTGTTTTTTCTTGGGACCAATATTGATATTGGCCAGGTGTATTGGTTCAGGTTTCCTTGAACATACACCGAGGCACGGCAAAAAGCACCCTGTTGCACCAAAAATAATATGGAGGGTTCCAGAGGTTGCCCCTTTTCCTTTTCGAGTTTTTCTTGCGTTTCTTTGGGAGTGGTCGTCCCAGGCAAGCGCGCGAATGACGCGAAAATGACGCGGGTGCTAGGTGTCGATGCTCCACGTGACGCAGCTGGACCGTATCGTGGATGTGGTGGAGGAGGCGAGCAAAGGCGGGGTTCGGACACGGCGCGAAGCTGCGAAGGTTCCAGGTTTCTTGGGTGTTTGTAGTGGTCCAAAAAAGGATTCACCCGCCAAAAGGGGTCCAACTGTTTTTCTGCTGTCGCTCGAAACGAGGGTAATGGGTGGTGGACCGGCTGATCTTGAAAGGGCACTGGGAAATCCAACTAAGGGTGCATTTATGGTCCCAAAGGTCCCCTCTGCGTCTTCTGGGTGCAACATTTTCGCTAGGTGTATCGAGTTCTATTTGTTGGTGTTTTTTTTCTTCTTTGCGGAATTATCTTTATTTTTTTTCTGGGGGACTTAGGAAGCAAATGGAGGTCTACTAACTCGCGATGTTTTGAGGGGTTATAGAAAGTTTGCGCGGACATGTTTGAGGGTTTTGCTCTAAAACACTGAAAAAACAGGGCCCGCTGGGCATCCCGGACTCTTTATATACTTTTGGGCTTGGGCTTCTCTTTCACCACTAGTTGCCCCAGTTGAACTAGGGTTCCCCAACAAAAACCCATGCCAAAATCACCTGATTCACAAGCGAGTCCTGTACAGGTGACATACAAAATGGCCAAAATGTACCCTGTAAGCAATCCGGTCGGATCTCCCCTGGCCGCCCTACTTGGCAAGTGGTTTAGCAGCGCTGCTTATCATCCATTTCGCTGTTTATAAGTCCCCCCGCACCATCTACAAGCTATATATAAATTATCCCAATATACCCTGGAGGTGGTGATTTGGGGCTAGTGGAACCCATCTTAGACTAAAGTGGTAGACAACAACCAGTTCAGATGTTGTTGGGCCAAGATCTGCTCGAGTCAGACCAGAATTTCCTGCCGACTCGCGAGGCCGCGTGGTCACGCTACTGGAGAAGAAGCGCAAGGACAGGGGTCCAACTCAACTTCGCCCTGAGGGGTGGTTTTATATAGGTGTGGGTCAAAAATTGGGCAACCCCAATCTGGAACCCTGGTTTAATTGGAAACAAGGACGAAAACCCGCGGTTCATATCCAGGTGGTTTCATGTTGGCCCATACCCATATGTTGCCAATTGCATGTTTTTGCAGTGAGTTGCCTTTTTGGTGTGCAAGGGGAAACAGACGCGGCCGTGATGTTTTTGGAGATAATATTCAGGGAACCCTTTTATTTGAACCCCTTCTTGTGGTAAATGGGACCGAATCACCGGGTAGCCTCTAACTGGTGGTTTGGATTGGCGGGAACTGGGAAATTGAACCCTCCTCCCCCCTTTTTTTGCTGGAGGGTGCATGGGAAACCACTCCCGGAACACGCCTGGGCTCCAACCCACCCAGAGGGAAGCTGAAACTCGGAAGCGACCGCGGGATTGCCCACGGAATCGGCAAGCCCCTCTTGTGGGCAAATGGTACGTCGCTCTCAACCTAAGATCCAAGAAGGAAGCGGGGGGGGGGGGGGGATCGCGACCGGAGAGGACCTGCCGGCCTTGGATCTGCCCAAAGTGCGGCAAGACCGCCTCACGGAGCCGCGTGGCGACGCAAGCGCATTCGAATTCGCATGGAGCGGGGCCGGCCAAGGTTCCAAGGGGCCAAGCTTTGAGATTCCCAGGGCTTCCTTTGGGCGGTTTTGCTAATATAACCCGTCGGGTTGCCTCTAGGTGATACCATGAACGGTTTCCCTTGGTCACCTATGCAAACTCACCTGGAAGCACTGGGCTACACTGAACATGGTCGTTTTTTGGGGGTCTTTTCTTCAAGTGGGTGGGCCAATTTATGGGCTGCGGCCCCTTTTTAACCAACCCCCCAAAAGGGTAGCCGGGTAGCCGTAAAGATACATAGCCACAGGAAACCACAAACCTGCCGGGGGGGGGGGGGGTTAGCAGATCTCATGTGTAGCGAGTTGAGCCTTTCTCTTCCATGTCGGCTTGTGCAAAAATCTGGGGGACCCCTCTTTCGGTGTCTAGAGGGAAAGGCAACGGGAGCCCTTGCATTCATGCCAAAGACAATGCTGTGCGCTACCCTTTACTGCTTGCAATTTGAAGCTCGAGTCAGACTTGCTTTGCACGCTTCTGATGGCAAGCAGGAGAGGATTACCAAATTTCGGCACTCTCCAATGTGTCGGTGACAAAACTTGATCACTTTCCAGGCTCGCATTTTGAACAGGTCGGGATCTAAACACCTATGATCCAGACAGCAACATGCGCTTGTAGTGAGAGGGAGGGAGCACTCCAGGGCCAAGTCCCGTGTTGCCATTCCGGGTGGTTCTGGCTTTTTCTCTCACCACGATCCTTCGAAATTTCACATTGACGCTAGCAGCTCCCCTCATGGATCAAGCAGAGCCACGGATTGGCTCGGCTCCATCGCTGGGTTCTCCTGCGGGGTGCTGGTGAAACACCCTAGCCAATTCGTTGGTCCGCAAATGCCTGCGTCCAGGAAATTCACCTGTCTTCTGGACAGAAACAGCTTCCCAAGTAAAGAACCACATGTGTCAGGTTTGTTTTCTTTGGGTTCGAGTTGAACGGTGGATGCGTTTTGGGAGTAGCTGGCCTCTTGGTAGGCAACATGCCGGAGGCAGACATCCCTTCTTTTTCACGGACTCTTTGTGATGTCCCGTGTCCCCGTATTGCTTTCACCCATGTGTATACCTGGGCCTGTTGACATCCCCTCAGAAATGGGGAAGGGGGTGACCCCTGGAGTTTCCTTCATGTCTCCTTTTGTGGGGAAAAAGAGGAAAATCCAATTGGGGACGCGCCCCCTCCCGGAGGTGGGGTGACCAAGGATTCTCACCATCAACGCGGGCTGCCTGAACTTTTGCACCTACTGCATCTTGGCGCGACTTTCAAGCGGGAAGGGCTCCGTTTCCCGAATGGTGGGCAATGCTGTTCGGCTATAAAATCTTTGACCGAACGAACCTTCCGAACTTGTAAAGCGCGCGAGGTGTCTTCCGCTGACCAGGTGTCTCCCGCTGACCTTGTTGCGGTTGAAAAGGGCAACCAAAAGAGCACTATCTTGGGGTTGTTTTGCTTGTCCCAAGGCCTGGTTTTGCAGATCAGGCACTTGCACAAATGTCAGGAATCGACCCCTTGTCAGGACCCTGATTCAAAAAGACCCCCATTGATCGGATCCAAAAGTACATCCCATAGATGTGGAACCCAAGACGCTTTGGAACCCAAGACCTTTTCCTCCCCTCTCCCCGCAAAAGCATATTCCTGCAAAACTGGGTGATCTGCAGCGGAGAAACCGGGTGTAACCAGATTCTCCCCCTGTTGTTTCACTTGTCTTGGGTTCGCAGGGGGATAATCCACTTGTGTCCAAAAGGAATCTGAATCGCTCTTGGGACTGGAGCAACTGCAGGTACTGCAGAGCCCTCGAAAACTCCTCAACAGTGACGAAGCCCTTTGAGGCCCTGGCTCCAATCTGTATAGCCCTTGGGGCTATGCGCCATGGGGCTCTGCGCTTCAACCCCTGGGTTGGTACAACCTGAAAGCCGCTTTGCCAAGCAGCGACGTGGAGAGGCCCAAAGGGTTCCAACGAATTCCTCGCATCGGACACGGGTAGAGTCCTTTTGGCCTCTAACAAACCCAGATGGAGAAAAGCCGGCCTCACTACCGATCAACGGCTTCGGATTCGGATGGATCCATTCCGAGGCAAGACGCGGATGGCCCGCGGTGTGGTGAAGCTCGGCGGAAGATTTGCCCGAGCGAAATGGTGGGTTTAAAGGGGTTCTTTTCCAGCGCCAATATTTTGAGAACCAATCCAAATGTATCCACTTCCAAGGGATGTATCCGTGTTTGTCTTGGAGCGGCTTCTTTCTGATGTCCTTCCTATGCCACTTTTGGGCTGCGATTGAAGGCTCGCTTTGGGCCTACGTGTGCTTCCTCGCTTGTTTGTCTGCAGGTGCGGATATCTGCCCGTTCAATTCTCACCTGGCTTTGAGTTGGTAGACCAGTTTAAAACGACTCATGTGTGTATTTCCCTTCCATTGGACTCATGCTCTCAAAGGGAAGCACATTTTTTTTTCTCCAGTCGGCGGCATGCAGCGAGCTCGAGGGAATTGAGCCAAGCCGTTCTTTCAATCTGAAGGTGTCAGAATTTTTGGGTTTGCAGACATGGCCCTTAATGGGGGGCTTGGGCTGGCTTGAGGAAGGTTTCCCCTGGTTTTTGGTGGGGGGGGGTGGCTCGCTGAAGGAAGAGCTACCCGGTGCAGCAGATCGTGGACCGGGCCTTGCAGGCGGCGGAGGAGGGGGTGTGCCATCTGGAGCTGGCCTCAGAGGACGGAGATCGAACGGATCGCTTCGGATCGCTTCGCCCCTTGAGATTGTTTTTTATTCTTGGTGGTTTCAGGCCATCCGGTTCCTGAGGTTTTTGGTGGCTTTGAATTGTTTTTAGTTGGTTTAGTGGTTTTTGTTTGCATTTCGCCCACGAAGCTTTAAACTTTGAGCCGCGGATCTGAGGACAGGGCGGTTATTTGGAGTGGGTCTTCCTTCAGAAACTAGCAGCGCCCCAAAAAAAAGAGTGCCTTTTTTTGCATGGCCGCTGGGGGTAACTAGTTGGTGGTTTGCTTGGGATTTGGACCCTTGGGTTATTGTAGAGGGTAAATGGGAAACCTTCTGTCAGGTGATCTCATCCAGTGACATGTGAGTTCCCGGACTTTAGTGATCAACAAATCGGTGTTTGGACTTTTTCTGGCCAACCCGCTCGGGAAGCGAATCCCTTCCAATATCACAGGTGCTAGGGTTTACTTGGGGTTGGCAGGGGTGGTCATGGCCCTTTTAGGAGTTCTAGACGTCCTATTGGCTCACGAAAGGTGTGTTGACTATGGCACATGAGTCATGGCGTGGATGGACAATGGGTCCTTGGTTTCCATTTTTTGGGGTGGGCTTTCTTTCTTCAATGTGAACCAACCCCGAAGGTGTACCGCTGCAGGTTTGGGACTCTCTTTTTCTCTCTCTCTCTCTCTCTCTCTCAGATCTCTCGCTCTCAGATCTCTCTCTCGCTCTTGCTCTCTGTCTCTCTCTCTCTCTCTCTCTCTCTCTCTCTCTCTCTCTCTCTCTCTCTCTCTCTCTCTCTCTCTTCTCCTATCAAAGCATGACCTTACAAGGGTAAATAGAAATTGGCGTTGACTGGAACCCGTCCTTTTACTAAACGATGTGCCGCTCCGAAAGCGATGAGCCCCCCAATCGAAGTCAACCAGGGTTGTTTTCCTCCGGGGTTTCCATGATCGGATCCTTGTGGTTTCCGTTTCCGGCCAAGTTTCTACCCACTGCCCGGTGGTGCCCTTTTTTCCTTTTTTGGGAAGGGTGTCCCTTTAAAGTCAACCAACCAAACAAGGATGGGCGTCTGAGTCTACCCTTCGCTCTTGGAGATTTTCTGTATCTCTTTCGTCTCGACTAAAATGGGCGACATCGGCTTCACCAAACAAACTGCGCCTTCCCCACATCGTTTTTCGGATGTTCAAACAACTATGACCCATGCTGGTACGATCCAAGAAGCTGTTGATGTAGGAGTATCTAGTGGTTTAAACCATGGCTTTTCACCGTGCCTTCAAACACCCCTCTTCTGCAACACGTGGGCGACCTGCCATAGTTTAAGCAGGTCAGTGGCGCCACTTTTCTTCTTTTTGGGGAGTTCAACAGTATCTTCCAAGCTCACGAACCCCAAATTGGGATTGGTGAATCGGAGGGGGGCTGACAGTCATTAGATTGCCCGTGTCCTTTTTTGAGGGTACCCTTCTTGGGGTTGGTTTAAGGCCCTCTCCGAGGTGTGAACAACTCACCAAAAAAAACCCGTTCGCCATGGCCATCCGTGGGGCTTGTTTCAAGCCAAGCTCTTCCCTAAAGAGCTTCGTTTCCTTGAATTTCCATCGGCCCCAAGTCTACCAACTCAGCGAGCCAGCCATTTCACTCCTGAGCCCATGTTCTGGTGTTGAGAACCACCCAAAATGGTACAACCCCTGAAAAGATTGAAAAGGAGGCCTTAACCACCCAAAAAGGGGGGGAAGAAACTGGGGGTGGGTCTCTCAAAATAGAACATCTTTTTTGAGTTCGAAAGGGAATCCAAAGGAAGCCAACCAATTTGAGGTTCCCATTTTTTTGGGCAAATTGAAATCGCTCACCAACAGAAAATTCGAAATCATGATAGCAACCTTGAAGGGCGCCCGGCAAACGGCCCGCAACCTCACAATCCTTTGCCCAAGACGTGTTGAAAGGGGCCCCCAAAGTGTTGTTCTCTTGGTGTCCCTTTAGAGCTGAAGCCTCAGCCGGATGGAGGGCCCGAAAAAGGCCGGATGGATGGGAAGAGGGGCGCGCACCAGCCTCCTTCCGCGGTGTTCGCCGCCTTCCGAGCGTTTTTTTTGGGTTGAAAAAACGCCCTGACGCCGCCTTGGCCATCTGCAGGACATGGGCGCCTACGGGGCGGACCTGGGCACCGACATCGGCGAGCTGCTGCTGCGTTTGTCTGACGCCCTGGCGGACAAGAAGGCGAGCCACGGGCAAAAAGGGATTGGTCAAGAGCCCTCTGGCAGGTTCCTTTGCAGCTGGAAGCTTTCGGGTCGAGTTCGGAGTTCGGAGTGGGCTTCGAATTACACCGGGAGGTGTCCTTTTTAGAGCTTAGCTTGGGCTAGACATCGATGGAGCATTTCCTCAAGAAACATTGTTTCACGGTGAAGCCACTGGGCTTTCAGGTTGGTTCGTGCAAGAAACATGTTTTTTCACGTGAGAGTACTGGGCTTTCACTGGATTGTTGACGCCTTCGTCGAATTCGTCGCGGTCCAGAGAACTATTCCTGGTCAGGGTTCCAATTTGTGTGACCAACTTCGGATGCCATCTTCAAGGAAGTCGACCACCCCTGGGGTTAGTCTACCTTTTTGTAGGCATTGCGTAACCAAGTTGTGCGTATCTGGAAATGGTTCTCCTGTGAAGAATTAGGGTTCAACCGTTTCCAAAAATCAAACCTGGCCAAGTGACGGGGTACCTGGTTTAATTGGGGTTGTCGTAAAGTCTTTACAAGCCTGCATAACCCTGTAAGTAGAACCCAGAGTCAACGGGTGAACCGGGCGCCTCTGACGTGGCCTTCCTTTTGATTCGACATATGCTGTGCAGCTGGAAGTGAAAAAAGGAAGCTCTACGCCTTTTGTTTCCACCAAGCCGGACCCCCTGCTACATGCTTGCACTTCTTTCTTTTTGCACAACCTCCTGGTGGCTCGCCTTTTGAAAATCCCACCCGTCACCCCTTGCAATCCAGAAAAAGCGCTCGCGTGAGAACAACGGCCGGCGTCCGGCTCACATGGGGAAAATGGAAAGGATCTGATCTGATCTGAATGAAAATGGAAAATCTGACTGAACTAAAGTAACTCTTTTCCATCTAAATAAAAATGGAAAGGATCTGAAAGTTACTTTGAGTTCTCTCTTCGGGGCAACTGGGCTGAAGCCTTTCCACAGGTCATGATTCGCACGGGCATGACGAACCCCCCCTTCGTGCTGAAGCACCTGGATCGCGTCATCGAGGCACGCAGGCGGTTCGTCGCCGTAAGTGGTCAGGGTGAGGGGGGGGGAGGGGGGCACAAGGGCAAAATGGCTTCAGTTCTTCTTTTTGGCTTTTTGGTTTCCATTCTAAGATGCTTTCCACTACCCCCAACCCCCCTACTCCCTGCGGTTGAATGGGATATCTATGAAATGCTATATACCCCAATTTCCCCTGGACGTGGGTTGGGGGGTAATTGACACCATCTTGGATCCTTGAGAACCAGCATACTTTGGGGCCTGTGGCTGCTTGCCAGCTGAGGTCTCCAACTTGGAGCCAACTCTTGTTGGCACGGCCCATTGGCATTGACCCTACATATAACCCGTTCAAGTGGTGATTTTCAGGGTTCGCATCGAGGCCTTAGGAAGGCAAGCAAACAAGTAAAACCCAAGTAGTTCAACCCAAGTAAGCCGAAGCGAACCCAAGTAAACCTCAGTACGCCTCAATGAAGCTAAGTAAACCTAGGCAAGCTTGTCTAAACACCTCACGATTCCAAGATCTCATCCCCGAAGCCTCTTGTTCTGGATCCCCAAGAGCTTGGGGTTCAGCAAAGGCGCTTCAGCGGCCGAACGTCTACAGCTTCATGCACGTGCCGGTGCAGTCTGGCTCGGATCGGGTTCTCAAGGCGCCCCCGCTTTGGCGGCTTTGACACATCACCATTTTGGGTGTGCCCCCTGTTTGTTTTCAGGGGAACCCCCCTGTTTTTGTGGTTTCCAAGGCAAGCCCAACAGGATCAGGCTTGTTGTGTTTTGGGGCGGGGTCCCCAAAAAGAGACACGGATTTGGGGGCCAATTTAAGGTGAGTTTCCTATTTGGAGGTGCGATATTTCAAGGGGAAATCTAGGCAGCCCTGTCCGAACCGAAGACAAAAGCGACTCCCCGTTTCCAGGAGGATGTATGCGGCAAAGTTGGGTTTAACACGCCACCTTCAGGAGCCAAAGCAGTGCACATAGCGCAGACGCGGAGAATTCATATTATGGGTCAAAATTGAACCACCGGGGGACCGCAGGTTTTAGTCCTTGCTTCCATTTACCAGGGCAAGCCATTTTGGGCACCTATTTTTGACCCACAGCCATATGATCTTTTTCAACAAGCAACTAAGCATGAACAGGCCAAAACAGCAGCGAATACAAGGATCGATGCTCATTGCCTGGTTCAAGGGGATGGCCCCACTCTGTCAAGAACCTACACTCCTGCGCCCTTGAACCGAACAATTCTAAGATCTATGGCGCAGATTGGAGGATAATGTATCTTGCCTGCTTGCTTGCTTGCTGGCTGGCTGTGTGGCTGGCTTGCTGGCTTGCTGGCTTGCTGGCTTGCTGGCTTGCTGGTTTGCTGGCTTGCTGGCCGCCTGCTTGCTTGCTTGCTTGCTGGCTGGCTAGCTTGCTGGCTTGCTGGCTTGCTGGCTTGCTGGCTTGCTGGCTTGCTGGCTTGCTTGCTGGCTTGCTGGCTTGCTGGCTTGCTCGCTTGGATGTTTGTTTGTTTGTTTGTTTGTTTGTTTGTTTGTTTGTTTGTTCGTTCGTTCGTTCGTTCGTTCGTTCGTTTGTTAGTGTGTTTGTTTGTTTGTTTGTTTGTTTGTTTGTTTGTTTGTTTGTCTGTTTGTCTGTCTGTCTGTCTGCCTGTTTGTTTGCTTGTTCGTAAGGTTTGCTTATTTGTTATCCTTTTCAGCTACCTCTGCCCCTTTTAGTGGGAATCCGGATCGCTTTTGTGGGTGACACCCCCGTATCAGTAGGATGGGTTCATAAATCCGGGGGTTCCCATTAGGATGATCAGGATTCATAAAGGGAACAACTGACAACTCAGTCTTGGTTTGTTCACTTAGGTTCAAAGCGGCTGACGCAAGATTTTGAACTGTTTCAATGGGATACCAAACAAGAAGCCATCATGGTTATGGGAGATTGCCGGTTTTCGATTGCATCTTCACCTTTTGTGCTGCCAAGGGAATCTCCTTCAAAGTGATGAAGTAGTCGTGGTGATGGCCTGCTCTGGTATCGCAGAAAGGGTCATTTTCTGCAACCGCGCTTAGTTTGGACGACATCTGTTTATGTGTTTCCATTCGGCAGGAATCCAAGCGCCTTGCTATAACGAGGGAGCTACAAAAGGACTTGAGAAATTGTTGTGCTGGCCGCGGTACATGAGGTGAATGGCCACCTTTACTGGCTGGTTTAAGGGACGCATCGCAAGCGAGCAGGGGATCATTTGCCCATTTACCAACGGATCGCACGGGAAACCCAATCACCAGCCAGCAGAACATGGATCGCGGACACGCCTCTGTGCAGGACATGAAGCGGCAGTACACCGTGTCGGAGTTTCTGCACTTGGTGGACCGTTTGCGGTCGGCGATCCCGGACATCTATCTGCTGACGGATGTCATCTGTGGCTGCTGGGCTCTCGCGTTCGTGGGCGGGGGCGTCGAACGGCAAGCTCAAGACTTGGCTTTCTTCTGCTAGCTCAATTTGGGTTTGTCTTTTTGTTTGAGGGTACTTATTTTAAAGAAGGGGAAACCACAAGGCAACCAACCATGTTTTTTGTATTTTCAGACACACCCATCTTTGTGTTCCAGTTGGACTGGATTGGTTTAATCGGGGTCCGTCAATGTGGACTTTTGGGGCTTGAACGAGCGTGGCCTAGGCTTTCCCACAGAGACGGAGGAGGATTGGCAGCAGACGCTGGATTTGGTGCTCCGGCCGCACGTGGCCCAAAGTCAACGAGCAACCACTGCCGTTGGTTTCTTGTTTGAAGGATCGGTGACCTCTTTTGAGGGTACCCGTTTTTCCGTGCTTTGAAAGGAAAACCAAAAGGCAGACCACGTCCCCTAAAAAGAGATACACCCAAATGAAGTCCCCTTGCCATTTCGAGACTTGCCCATTGTGGAGCGTCGGCGGAAGAGGTACACAGCATCACCATGGCCTTCCTCTAAATCAAGACATCGGACCCTTTAGGCGAGTGACCAGCATAGGCGAGCATTTCAGGTTAGTTCGGGTAGAAATAGATGGGTTCCACTGGTTGAATTGGTTTTACGGCCCACCAGGGAACCTATGGTGACCTGAGCGTTGGAGCACATTTGTTTCGGGTCTTATTTCCCCGCCAAGCAGGTGCTTGCAGTGGCACGGAGGTCGCAAATGCAGGGATGGTCGCCGGCCCGCTTGGCGCCAGCAGCAAAGGTGTCTGCGTGCCCTGCGCCTCCTTGAGGTTGTCTCAAACTTGGAATGGCACCCTCCAAAAATTGGCGCCTTTCCTTGTATTCCCCCTGGAACACCGCCCAAAAAAACAGAACAAACTTCTAGGCTTGAATTCCCCCCCCCCCCCCAAAACGACGGTTGCACCAACCAAAAAAGTACGCGCCGCGAGGTGCGGCGCGTGCGGTTCCACGGCGTCTACTCCTCCCGGTTCTTTGCGCGGCAGGGCACCAAGGCGGCGGAGATGGCGCAGCTGCCGCACCCGGTGACCAAGCAGCGGTACCAGGCGACGGCTTTCTCGTCTTTTTTTGGGGGGCGGTCGGTGGGGCGGTTTGGGGTGGTTTGGGGTGGAGAATGGCGGGTTTGGGGTGGGTGGTGGTGGGTTTGAGGTGGTTGGTGGTGGTTGGTGGTTGGTGGTGGTGGGTGGTGGTCGGTGGTGGTTGGTGGTGGCTTTTGTGGGCGTTTCTCAAAAAGGAGCCCCCCCCAGTTGTTTCAGTCTCACTTCCTGAGGGTCATGGACTTGATTTTTTTGGGTTTTGAGGGCCCAAGTGTGGGGCAGGGGGTGGGGTTTTGAGGGTACCAACTTTTCAGGTTGCTTTAATGGGAAACCACCAAGACCCCATGTTTTGTTGGGTCCAAATCCCTATCTTGACACCTACCCCACTTGACCGAAAGGAAGCCCAGTGGTGCTCAAAGGGTGGGAGACTTCATGTTGGCCGTGTGTAGGACATCGGACGGCGGTTGATTGCCTAGGTATTGATAAACCAACCCATTGTTCACCTGGCAAAGGCGATCCATTGGCTTGGACCAGATTGCCTGACACATGATGCTGGCACTCTTCCACAGCCCTCTGTCCACTTCCATGACTGTTGGACAGAGGGTGTGGAACCTCGTATTTATCCACCAATGGTTATTTATGCTAGGGCAGCATCTTGACTGGAAAGAGGGTATTTGGGTATGTGTGAAAATAGGTGGATCCTCGAGTTTCCTTCAAAGCCACCTGAAAAAGGGTGCTGTCACAAAAGAGCATGCCCGTTTGTTTGTTTAGGGCATTTGAGGCGTGGTTTTGGAAAAGTACCGATTCTAGAGGCTATTCTGTGATATGAAGGGAATCCCTTTTCAAGTGATAAACTGGTGATGGGGGTGGCTCACTTCGGATCAGAGTTGTCACAAGTGTTGTTGAGGCAAGGGTACCCTTTTGGAGTAGATTTGAGGTACCCCCTTCCCCTTCCCTTCCCCCCCCCCAAAAAAAAGAAGAAGACAACAACAAAAGAATAAAGAAAACAGACAAACAAAACAAACAAAAACAAAGAGAACCAAGTTCCGTTTTTTTTTTTTTTTTTTTTTTGTGGGGGGAGCTCTTTTTTTTGCCACGTACTCATTTGTTTGTTTCCCGGAGGAGCTGTGCGCGTTGGACGCCCTGAACGACCGCAATGCGCCGCTGCTCAGCCGCACGGAGCGGGTGTGGTTCGCCGGCACCGACGAGCTGCGGGACCAGACGCTGGGCAGGACTCGCCGACAAAAACCTGGCGGGGCGCGCTTGCCGGCGCGCAGGGCTCGTCTTGTTGTTTTTTGATTGGAGGGAATTGGGTACCCTCCCACCAACTAACGTGGAAGTGCGAAAAGGCCCTTTCCAAGAGGAAAGTAGTCTTTCTACAGGGGTTTGTGCACTTCCATGCTAGCCGGTGGGAGAACATGGCACCTCAGAAATTGTCCTTGTAAGAGGAAATTGCTCTTCCAGGTACCCTCCCACAGGTGCTATGTTAGTGGGAGGGAGGGTGCCCGTTTTGGGTTGGTCTGAAAGAGAAACCAGAAGGAAACCAAAATCCGTTTTGGGTTCCCCTTTTCTGAGACAAACTCACATGTGGCTCTGAGTTTTAAGACTTGGAACCCCCTGAAAAGTAGAATCCCACTGAATTTTGATGTCCACCACCACCACCACCACCACCACCACCACCACCACCAGCACCACCACCAGCACCACCACCACCACCACCACCACCACCACCACCACCACCACCACCACCACCACCACCACCACCACCACCACCACCACCACCACCACCACCACCACCACCACCACCACCACCACCACCACCACCACCACCACCACCACCAAGGGTCCCTAATTAAAATTCATGGCCACATGAGGAACGGACAATAGTACTGGTTAGTCTGTTGTTCAGTACACGACACTCAATTTAGAGGCTTTTGCCTCCAAAGCTGGGCTGGTAGGCTTTGCCTTTCAAAGTTCATTTTGAACGACTTTAAAAAGACAGTTCGAAGTCAAAGCGTTGCTTCCAGGAGAGTGGTAGACTTGTTCTTTCAGCGTTCCTTAAAATACCAAAAAAACAGTCAATTTCAAATTGTTGCTTTCACTGGACTAGTAGATAAGTCCTTTGGAAGCTCATTTTCAACAAGCTTCAATTGAACATTGAAGACATTTTGCTTTCCAGATTTGGGCTAGTTTGCTTTTCCTTTAAAGGTCCTTTGAGCAAACTGTCAATTGCAACGTGATGGGTCAACGGGGGGGGGGGTTGCCGCGCTTCGTATGACGGATCAAGCTGGCCTGCCAACTCATGATGCGCGCGCGGGGCCAGCTCGAAACAGGCCCAGTCTCTATCTACCTTACCCTATGCCCCTCCAAGACAAGTTTGCTGCACAAATGCTGGTAAGGCACAGGTGTCTTGCGCGTGAACCACTAAACGCTGGTAAAACGCATACGATTTTTGCACGCGCTCGCAAGTGTGTCTCTTGCGAGTGCGGCAAACCCCTCCCGTTGATACAATGTGTTGCTTCTAGAGGGGTGGTAGACTTTTTCTGTCAAACTGTCTCTAAACAACAGTCAATGTCAAAGATGCTGCCTTCTTGGACTGGTGGATCTTTGTTTGCAAATCTGAGTGGCATATGTTTCCTTTCATAGCCCTTGAACACACGTCGCCTGGACAAGGTGCCCCTAATTTACAGCTTCCTGAAAGCTGAACATTAGGGACCGTCAGTTTTTTTCAGTGCCTGGGAACACAAAATGCTGAGAGGCCCCTAATTTCAGCTTTCTGAGGCCTAAGCATTCGTGACCCTCAGTGTGTAGGGAGTCGTTTCCCCTGATTAATACAAAAAAAACAGACACATTTAATTCATTTTCTCCCGATATTGGTTTTGGGGTAGGGGGGAACTCCGGGCCAGCTTGACAAGCCAAAGGCTAGGGGTCGGAACCACCAAAGCATTTGGACAAATCCCACCACAGGTTTACCCTACATTTGCCCTTCACGGGTGTCTTTAAACACCTTTTGCCACTTCTACCAACACATTTGTGAGTTTGCTTTTGGGGCCTGGGGTGATGCTCAAGAGAGGCCAATGTGCTGAGTGGGTGCGTTTCAGAGAGGTCTGCGGTAGCCACGTTCGCGTCGAAGCGAACGATCGATCGGTCCATCCGTCAGGACCAAGGCCTTTGCCAAGGTCCTGGCGACTCGGCATGGCAAGGGGCATGAGCGAACCTCGCAGATCCGTTTGGGCCCCCTCCTGAAAAACTTGGAAACATGACCTGTGGCATGTTCTTTTTTTTGGGGTGATGTGTTGGTGTTTTGGGGTTCAGGCGTCCCGGGGTCCGAAGCTGTTAGACTGGTTGCTTGGTGTCTGTTTCGTCGTGGTCTAAATGAAACAGAGGTTTGTTCATCCCGGGCAAAGAGCTTACAGCATGGGGGTTTGGAGGGAATGATCAGAATGCATCATCAGTTTTTTTTTTTTGTGAGCAGAACGCCATACGGGAACAAGTTCATCAGGTCTGGGGGACTTGTGGTAAGGGACCGTCGATATGCTCATGTCTTGCAGAGTCTTGCCCAGAACTGCTGTGGACCAAATCCATGTTGCCCCTAGGGGTTCATGTATCGTGCGCAGGATTTTGTGGACCCATGTAGTATGGAGGACGACTTTTTTCATGATGCAAAATGCGGGTGTGGAAGCTTCACCTTCCAAACCACCAATCTAAACCGCCAATTGGAGGGACGCTGAAAGGAACCAAAACTAGGTCCCCCAGCCAGGTGCCCTTTCTCACCCAACTTGTTGGTTGGGAGGGTTCCCCTACTAAAATAGACTAGAGAAAAAAGGGTACCCTTACTCTAACCTCTGCTGGAGGACCTAGAAAAGGAACACCACCCCAAACCATTGGAGGGAAGCGAACGCACGGTGTCCATTTCACCGTGGCCGGCTCAAGAAACCCAGAGAATCCTAGCTACCCCTTGGAGGCAAAAACCATGGAATCTGTCCCCTGGAGAAAATAATCCTAAAATACGTCCAGTAGTGATAGATTCCCTTTACCAACAGAAGAGTTCGCAACTATTCTTAAGCAAATGGAAGTGGATGGATCTGGAAAGGATACAGCAGGTATCTTCAGTTTCGGACGCAAGGTCACAAGGTCTACGCCTCGAAATGAAGACTTTTGGTGATTCCCCATTTCGTGAGGGCGGGCCGGCTCGGTATAGTCTGAAGTCGCGAGGAGTACTTCCCGACAAATTGCAAAACTAGGAAAAGGGTTCCATCCCAGTCCGAGACACGCCCACGCCCTTGACATCTCGAGGTGGCGCGGGACGATGATCTGCTGGGCCAAAGTGCCCTGGTAAAGATCACCGGAACTTCGGTGAAGCACGTGGAGGGAGTGGTGCAGCGCTAAGGAAAAAGGAACGCCTGGCCAGGGATGCGAGCAAACGAGCAAGCGAGCAACAACCATTTGCGATCCGCTTTCCAACGGATCGTAAACGCTGGCAACATGGAGGGAAGCCCAACCACCAGCCACCTTTCGCCCGCGCGATGGATGGGTTCCCTTTACGCCCCAAATCCGCCCAAGTTTGCGACCAGTTCGTTTGTTCTTGGCACCGGGGAATTCCGACCAGGCTCGGCACCCGTCCGGAAAATTTATCCAAAGCAAAACGTGTTTTTTTGCGTCAAAGGTAGCGGGGGATAGTCTCGGCTTGCTCCTTCTGGCTTCTCGAGCCTGAAGCCCGGTTTCTGTTTTGGAGTGAACCCTCCATCAGCCAAAAGGGTGTCCGTGTTGGCCCTGGAAGGCTGCAGGTGGTCTATTGCAATTACCGCCGCCTCTTTTTTTTTGGTTGGGGTGGGAGGGGGGGGGAGTATGCCCATCTTATTTGCACGTTGAGTTTGGCAGTGCTTGAAATGACAACCCCGGTAGGGAATATGGCAATGAGCAATCCCATTCCCTGCAAGATCCCAATTGTGGTCGCTACAACGTCATTCACACATTTCCTACTGAGAACAAAGCAAGTTAGTTGGGAAATGACCAGTGACCACATGCCCTCACCTTTGCGGACGGGACGATCAGATTTCCCTTGGCTTCAAATCAACATTTTCTCAGGTCTTAGACCAACTTTTGGGGGATGAACCTGGGCGTGCCTAATGTCTTTGGAGGTTTCCCTCTTGTTGAGCAGGTTCAAAAACAAAGCCACAAGGCAACACACCACCATTTTTTTTGGGGGGGGGATTTCGGAGGATAGCCCTTTTCCGGTAGGTTTCCAAGGAAAGCCACAAGGCAACACCCCCATTTTTCCCCAGATAGCTGAAAGCTATAGGGGTTCTAACTTCTAATAAAGAGTGGAAAGTGATTTGCGAGATTGAGGGCCGGGTGCTAGGGGGCATGCAGTTTGGGGTGCTGGTGGATGCTGCTTTCCAAGCTTGACGGCCGGGTGTTAGGGGGCATGCAATTTGGGGGTGCTGGTGGATGCTGCTTTGCGAGCTGGACGGCCGAGTGCTAAGGGGCATGCAGTTTGGGGTGCTGGTGGATGCTGCTTTGCGAGCTTGACGGCCGGGTGCTAAGGGGTATGCAGTTTGGGGTGCTGGTGGATGCTGCTTTGCGAGCTTGACGGCCGGGTGCTAGGGGGCATGCAGTTTGGGGTGCTGGTGGAGGGGCACGCAGTTTGGGGTGCTGGTGGATGCTGTTCGCGCGCGAACGGTTCGTGGCTGGTGTATCGTCATGATGTTCCCAACCTCGTCATGATACAACTTCACTGCGATGCTGCGTTATGGTTTGTGGTTGTAGTGGCGCCGTGATGCTGTCAACATCAGGATGATGCTGATACGCTGTCGCAAGATGGTTCGTGGCTGTATCATCATGATGCTGCCTTTACCATCAGCATGATGCTGTTTGCATCACCATGATGCTGTCCGCATCATGATGATGCTGTCCGCATCATCATGATGCTGTCGAACTCATCAGGGCTGTATCAGCATGATGCTCTCAACATCATCATTATGCTGCTGAACTCATTAGGACGTTGTATGCGCGTTTGTAGCGCACCATGCTCAGTGGCTGTGGTATCATCATGGCGCTGTCTACATCATCATGATAATGCTGCGTCGTGGTTCGTAGCCGTGGTGTGCTATTTGGGGTCTATGCTGGTGTATTTTTTTGGGGGGGGTCCTACCTCCAAAAAGGCGAAAACGACGCAGTTTCTGGGCCTTTGGCCTTTGGCCAGGCGCTCAAAGCGCGGCGCACGCGCCGGCCTTTGGGACCCAGGCGCGCGCGTGCAGGGACCAAGTTGGATGCTGGTCAGGGGACTTTTCTCGGAGAAATCGGTCATTTCCTTACAGGGGAACTACTTTGATTGGTGCGGTCCGGACTCATCCGAAGTTAGCATTGGAGGTAGAGCAGGGTTCCTCCGTTCAATGAAAGCCACAAACACATGGATCAACACCTCTGTTTAGGGCCACTTTCTGCGATAGCGGGATTCCATTGAAAGTGATAAGATAGCGGGAATCAACAACCTAGGTATTACAGGGTGATTTTCACAATCAACTGTATTTTTGCCAAACTATTCTGTATCACAATAACTTTTGGCATAAAGGCCATTGGATCGTGCCTTGGTTTTTTGCCACCGAATGCGAGTCAGCCTTTTTTCGGCCAAAGTATCCTGTTTCGTTTGTGGTCAATTTGGGGTTCGCGACATGGGGCGCACCCGCAACTGGGGGACGGAACTGTGGCGACATGACCCGCGACGGGGGTTTGGGAGATGCAGGTCGGGCTGGGGTCAGCTTTGCAAGGACCTTATTCATGGTTGTTGTTGGGAACCATTTTACATTTTTGTTTATTTTGGCTTAGTGGGAAATCCCCACTTAGCTGCTAAAAATAAAATCTTTGCTCCCCTTCCAACGCCAACTAAGTTTTGAGGTCACAAGGTTCGTGTGATGCATCAGGGGGTTCGGAGGTTCCAAACAGATGAGTTCACGAGCGACGGGGGTCAACCGAGCGGTTTGAGCCGTGAAGTCTCTTAAACGGAGATGCCTGCACGCGCCCCAAAGGTTGATAGTATGGAGCCGTATGGGTTTGTCTCAAAATAGGGGGATCCACAAGATGACGGGCTTTCCTTTGGTTTCCCTTTGAAAGGAACCACAAGAGGGTTCCGCAAAAATGACAACCCCCCTTTTTCATGCCTGGAAATCCTTTCGGGGTCCCCAAAAACACCCGCGAAACCCACCCAAAAAACAAAAACAAATCCACGAACCACACTTCCGACCACAGAAACAACGAAACCGGCGCCAAAATCGTCCTACCCTTTTCTGGCAGACTGAGTGGAGGTGTCCAAGCAAAATGGGGTCGGAACTGGTGGGACATCTTGTCATTTGCACGTGTTCAGCTAGCAGCAGCAGGGGTCGATGTGCGACCCGCAAAGGCTTCTGGGGATGCCAGGGCCAGCTGAAAGATCCGATTTTTCAGGGGATCTGGGTCAAGCCAACCAAAAAGAGTCAATTTTGGAGGAACCCGGAAAATCGTGGCCTGCAACTGAGACCGCCAAAATGCAGGATGTTCTTTGCCCTTCCCACGAACACCAAGGGCTGAAAAGGATACCCACTCCCCACAAAACATGGAGCCACTTGACTCGATTTGCTTTCGGGGCGTCCATCCCAATGTTTGGCAGCTCGAGCCCCCAGGTCCTCGGAAGCCTTCGGTCGGTGAAAGTCGAAGCTTCCCCATAGCGTCATCCCTCCCGGCATGTGACATTGGGTCTCAGGAGGCAACGATTCATTCTTCGAGGTAGCCTACCAGAGGTGCCAAGTGGAAGGGTAGTCATCCCCCTGCGCGCATGAAGGGACCCCAGCAGGGAGGCACATAATTACGGCGCCCAAGTCCGAAACGGATCCGGCCATATGTTTCACAACCCCCCGCAACTTCTTGGGTGCGAATATTGTTCAGCAAGTTTCTGAAGGTGGTGATATTCGGCCTAGACATGTTAGACTCCCAAATGGGGGTTTATCAAAACCGTGTTTATCGAAATCGCAACGGATTCCTTTTGGTTTCCCTTGTACTCTGCCCAAGGGGTCAAATGAATCCCATTTTGAGAAACTCTCAAGCGGCCGCATCCTTCTTTCGAGGATCCCTGCAAACTGGATTTCCGTCTTCCTTGCAGTTCCATGAAACAAATATACGTGTGAATATATATATATATATATTTATATATACACACCGAACACGACGGGTACCAACTCCCAAAAAAGCGTCAGACCCGATTCTTCCGGCAGAGGCGGCGCCGGTCTTCGGGCCCCGGCTGGTGCTGAGCCGCGAGAACGCGGGGTGCTCGGATCTGAAGTGGTTTTGCTTCACACGACGGTCTCACGCAGCTCTTTTTTTAATTAGGGTTGACTAAAGGTGAATATTCTTGAGGTTTGGCCAAATGGCGGAAACAAACGGGTGGTGTCTAAGCCACTCCCCGAGTTCCGTTTCGGACTTTAGTCACTTCTTGGGAGAGGGGAAGCAAACAAGTTTGGACTTTGCTTGGCCAGCTGGGGCCTCCACAACTCTTTCTCGAAGTTCAGGGTTCTCAAAGTGGCGGACAGAGAATGCAACGGGTTTTAAGGAGGGGAACCACGAGGTGCCAACCCGCGTTGAGAACCCACATCACGGTTGGTCTTGGGACTCGCGTTTTAAGTATGCCACCGCCTCGTTTTTTTGTTTTTGGTGAGATTCTGAAACGGGAGCCCAAAAATGTGTGGTGCCCGTTTGGCTTCCCTTCAAACAACCACCACACAAAGGGCACCCCACCCCAAAACTACACGCACAAACTCACACACACACACAAACAAGTGAGTTTCCTGCGTTCCGTTTAGACATTTATATCACTTGTTTCTTAGTCAGCTTGTTTCCTAATCAACTTGTTTCTTAAGGAAGAGCATATGGGTGTGAAATTGAATACGGGATCTTTTGGTGGACCTTGCAATTTGGTGGGAATTCATGTCCAACCACGTGTGCGGTGGTTCCCTATTCAAATTTTAGGGTCATTACATCAACAAACAAAGAACACACATCAACCACCACCACCAAGCACCCACCAAAACCAGTAGAATCCAATCAGCCACCCACCAAGATCCCACCAAATCCAGCAGAAAGCCCATCAAACACCCACCGAAAAGCCCATCACACAATCTGATCTTGGCAATTTCGCCTCGGCCAGGTCCACCAAAGCTCGAGCCAGCTCCGCTTCGTCCGCGCGGCGGAGCTTTCGGGGGCGGCGCTGGATGTGGCGCGGAGCCCAGAAGCCTTGCGGTTCTGGGAGCCATGCTGTGGATGGTTGCGAAATCCATTTCGCACCATCTAAGAAACCCTGGAAGGATTCGATGCCCCAACGTAAATACCAACCAACAAGGGTTTCCCGTCGTTTAGACCTGGTGCAGGAGTCTGTCTATCCACGGTATGGGCATAGGTGTCCTTTTCATCGGTTGCTTTGGCTAGAAATACAGCCAGTTCCACTGGCTTAGAGAGTTTTGTATGCCCTATTTACCAGGGAAACCCATCGATTTTTCCTACAAGGTCGCCTCTGCATTTTTGGTGAAGGTATCCCTTTCCTACAGGAACGCCAAGAGGAAACCCATTCTGTACATTCCCCCTTTCGACGGCGACAACCATTTCCCCATGCTTCAGACCAAGACACCCGAACTCCGCGGGCGTTTGGTACGCGTTTCTTGTCTTCCACTTGGGAGAGCCTGACAGCTATGCTTCCACTTGCCTTTCAGACGATTTCTGCAATATTCCTCTGTTGGCTTCTGAGGGAATCTAAGCCTATCAATACCGCACGTGGCAGTGTGTGTCTAGCCAAGACCTCCGGGGATTCATATCCGGACATTCTTAAAGCCCAAACTTTTCAGGCAACCCTTCCTTTCCTTTCGTTTTCCCATACCCGGAGCTCCGGTCGGGCTTTCCGTTTTTCTCCTTTTGGGGCCTATTCTTGCCGTAGAAAGCAACAATACTAAGCAAGTGTTGCCGTTCTCCCCACGGACATCCACTGGTCTGGGCATTATAAAATTCCCTGTCTTTTCGTGGTCCTGGGGAAGATGCGTAGTATAGAACCCTTATGCCATAGATACCAATTAACATAGGTTCTCCGGTGGGACCAGTGCAGCTGTGGGTTGGGCTTTCCGTCCGCTTTCCTTCTGAATGAACCTATTTTGAGACGTGCCTCCCTCAGTTTTGCTCCCCCGAAACAAGCAACCACGGAAGGTTTACCTACAATTGCCTGGTGTCCACTTCCTACAAACAACTCCCTCAAGGACAGGCGGGCTGACCATGCCGTTGCCGCCAGCCTATAAACCCCACCCCAGCGGCGACCCAGGGCAACTGTTGGGCATCTAACCCTTACGTACCCCTTATCTTCTCTTCATGGGCTTTGCTATGCTGGATAGAGCCTGTGCGTGCTTAGCGTTTTGGTAATGCTTGTCAAGGGGAAATGACTACTTTGTTTTCTTTGGGCTGAAAAAAGGCACAAGCAAGGGGCAAGTGAGATCCTTGTTACAGTTTTTGCCGGGTGTTGGCCGCTTTCCGGTTCAATAGTGCCCGCGTCCTCCTTCGGCTTATGCAGGCCCTCATTGTACCCCCCCCCCCGCAAAATCACATACACTTTTGAATAATCGTTTATTTTCCACAGTTGGTCCGCAAGAGGCGGGTCAAACAAATGCGTTTTTTTCTTTGGGTCTCCCGGTCCCTCCCCTACGCCCAGGGTGCGACTCAATTCCGCTTTGCCTGACCGTCCAAGAAACCCGGGCTTAGGGTTGGTACAGGGTTTGCGAGTTTGTTTGGGAGCCAACCCTAAGCCAATCAGACAGGTTTTCTCCATGGCACCATGCTTCAGGAAATCGAGCCCGTTTTGCGGGGCGGCTGCTTACAGCATTCTCTTTGCGAGCAGCCTGTTTGCTCCACCTGTAAGCGCCCTTACAAAGGGCAAAACATGCTTAAACTCGGGGTTTTCCCAACTGGATCAAACAACTTTCAAGGATAAGGCCCTGACTTGTGCGTAAGTCTAAAAGTCTAAGGAGCAGGTGGCTGGGATGCCCTACGTGCCACGGACACTTCGAGTCTATTGTGTAGACCCGAACCCTAAACATCCAATACCCTAAAAAAGGGCGGTTTCAAAAAAAGAGAGGCTACGATCAATCAAAGTGTCCACCACCCAAACATGTCGAGTTTTTTCGCCCTACAAAACCAGCACCCTGAACGAAAAGGTGCCCTTCCCAGCCTTCCTATTCCCATCCTTCCCACCCCACCCCCCCGCGCCCCAGGTCCTTCAGCTCCAGAACTTCCACCCGCGGCTCCGGCCCTTGACCGCCGTCTTCGGCACCCAGCCGGCGGCGCCCATCAACGCCCGGAGCCCCGGAGCCCCGGCGCCCGGTGGCCGCGCTTCGGTGCCCGGGGTTTGGCCCAGGGGTTCCCCATGCCGCTGGCGGTGGTTGGTGGTTGGGGGTCTGGTGGGCGATTCTCACAAAGGTTTTAGCCTCACTTCCTGAGGTCATGGCCTGAAAAGTCACTGGTTGGAAGTTTGGTTGCCATTTTTTTGAGTGAGAGAACAAAGGTTGGTTGGGCCGTCCACTCTGGGGTGAGTCATAGGGTGGATTGGGTGGTTGCCACTTTTTGGGTGATCATTGTAGTGGGTTTGACAAAAAGTCCAGAAGCCATAGGAATTGAGTCGGGGATCCCTGTGGGCCAGTGGTGAAGGGCAATAACTCCGTTTCCCTGCCATAGATTTCCTTCACGCAGGGGCAAACAACCTACATGCGCTTGTTGAAGGACTATATCAGCATCATACATTCGGCATGTGACGCAATGACGTCCCTTGAACTGGGCCAACCGGCGCAAATTGTCCTCTCGAGACGACCTTGTCGAAAAAGGACCTCTCCGTTTAAGTGGTGACGGATTCCTCTACCCCAACGCGGTGAGTCGCAACATGATCAACCAGGTTGGCGATTTCCCAAATGGGCGCTGGCGTCTCATGGCACAGCCGTCCCAAAAGTGGGGTCCTCCTTTAGGACTCGTTTCGGTTTATTCTTTGCGGCCTTCCAAAGGGGTCACCATTCCGCCACCCCCGGCTGGTTGGTTGCTAAGATAGGGAATGAGCCCCACTGATAGCCCTCTGGTAGTTTCAGCGGCCGAAAAGGGCGAGACAACTTGGGGGACATGTGTAGGCGCTGGCAATGTGTTGCCTTCTGTGGGTCGAGAATCCGAGTTCAAACTGTTCAAACCTTCACACTGGACCAATCCCCCCTTGCAAACATGGAACAAGGAATCCCCGAACAGGATTTTTTTCTAGGACTGATCGTCTCGGTTCCGAACTACTCTGGGAGCACGCCGTGGTGATGAATCGAGGGGTCGGGGGAGGCAAGGCAGAGCCCCCGCGTGCTCGTTAAAGCATGGCATGTCAACAACAAGTTGCATGCGGGCATGTGTCAAATTAGGCGGACGCGACACATGTTTTTTGTTTTTTGTTTCCTTCGCCTCTCCTTTGAACTTTCCTTAAAAATGGGTACCCTCGGAAATTTCAGACCGATGTACTTTACAAAACAAGCGGAGCGCGGAAAGCACATGCCAACAGTGAAGTTTGGACCAGCCCCGACAGACTATGGGTCGGGGCGGGTACAAAGACGAAAGCATCCACGCGACCGCAAGCCTTTGCTTTGTCTGGGCAGTGAGCCATTCCGCGGACAGAGTTGAAATGCGTTCGAAATGCCCAATGTATCTCGTATGAACCCAGGCTTTTTGCAGCTTTACGTATTTCTCGGTAAACGGATCGACCACGTGATCGCTCTTGGCTTTCCCATTCCCACTCTGATTTCCCGGTTGGGCAAGTGAGGTATGGCTTGCCTATGGAATTCTACGGGCAACTTGAGCATCCGAGGTTGCGCTGGGCAGCTCGGTCCACGTGCGGATTCGCTTTCTGTCAAAGGAGGAGCGTTGGACTTGGGGAGGCTTTGAATTCCATTTGGAGCAACCCCTCCGTACCCCCCTCCCCCTTACGTTTACAAGGGTTGCCCGACTCCCCTGTTTTTTTAAGGTGGGGGGGGGAGGGACGTTTACAAGGGTTGCCCGACTTGAGCCGTTCCTAAACCCAGGCACGTGTAATTTTCCCCTCAGAGCGGCCAGCACACCTATGGCCTTTTGATCCAAAAGTTTCGGCGCCAAAGATGGCATTCGACCTTCCTGGGGGAGAGGCAATGTTTCTGCTTACTTGATGCGGCCAGCTGTTGTTGGAATGCAACCCAACAAAGGGAGCATTACGTACCTTTTCCATAGCGGGTGCGCAGGCAAACAGCAAGGTCAGAGCAAGGGTCCATTGACAAGGACCCGTCTAACATTTCCCAGATCTTTGGCACAGACACAACCAGCACTTCGAATGCTTCGTTTGCCAGCACTCTGATCGAAGGAAAATGGCTTTGGCGGAGTTTCGCGGTGATACCATGCAACGACTTTAGGCAGATTCATAAAGTCCGGCCCGGATACTTCTGGAAAACTTGGTCAGAGACTTTTCCTGGATCCATCAAGCCCAATCTTGGTGGGAGAACATCAGTCTTTTAGTCCGAATTGTTGGGTCTGAGTTTGTTTCCCTTTGATCTTTGGGTGGACGTATGTGCCACAGGCACTTTTGATCCTTCTACTTGGGGTGGCCAGGGATGGTCATGGACCCCGTTTTTCCAACTCAGACAGAAGGATTCTGAAGGGAGCCATGGCCGACATCAGCTTTGTTTGGCACATGAGCTTTGGGTTTGTGCCAAGTTGAACTAGAGAAACTGCTCCCCAGAAAGATCGTTTGGAAGCAATGGAGCGGACAATTGTTCCTCCAACATTGTCAACATGGCAGGGCTTTTTGAATCATTGGGACGTTCTCTGGGTCAACGTATCCAGTTTTCGTCCTTTTGGACGGTACTTGGGAAGAACTTGACATTTCAGCAAGGCTCGCTCATTTATCTCTAACCCACATAGTTGGACCGCTGCGGCGGATTATTTGTTTGCGCTCATGTTTACCGCATGGACAAATTCCTGTACCGGCTGGCAGGCGGCTTATCCCGCTATTCTCACCGGGTTTTCTGGATTTCAGCCGGTGTGTTGTGTGTATTTCCATGCACAGAAGTCTGGAATGCGGCCGTTTTTGTCCGCTGGGAGGACGTGCCAATATCCTTGGGGCGGCTCTTCCTGACGGTGTACGATGTGGAGGACCGAAGGGCTCCTTGTCCAGCCCAGTCAACGTGATGGACGAAATCCATTCCGCAGTCCGGATGTTTGCTCCTTCTTTAAGCAACAAGTGAGCCTTGGCGATTTTACTGATTTTTTCCATGGACCCCCGAAGGAAAGGACACCTGATCCCGATTTGAGCCCTCCTTTCATGTTTTGTTTTCCATTGACTTGCTATTTTCTGCAATGGAGCCCAAATCAAGATTCCTTGAGTGTTTTTTTGTTTCAACCCGTTTTTTTTTTTTAATGGGAAGCCAAGCGTTCCGGGCGTTTTCGAGCTTGGTGCCGGTTTTCGCGGACCCATTTTTCCGCAGCCGCAGCGGAGTTTTTTTGCGGACTAGGAGCCTTTCCTGGGCGTCGGCGCAGAGGGGGAGATCAAGGTGGAGGAGTTTCAGGCGGATCTCCGAGCCGCGAGAGGCAGAAATCAGCCAACATTTGGGTTTGGTCGTGGTGTTCAGCGAGAATTGTCCATGTTGGGGGTGAGTTGCTTGGTGAAGTCCGCCAACCAACCTTCTGTGGGCGAGCTGCAGATGAACCGAAGGACCTCGGAAAGCACCGATGCGGTTGGGGCACTTTCTGTTTGGGTGCCGAATTTGCAGCGGGAGTGTAAAATCCACTCCTGAAATTTTGGAGTCCCCCCCCAGAAGCTTGACCTCACGTGCGAGGTCGCCCATCTCGAGGTGGATCGCATTCATGTGCCAGACGACCAACAAGAGACTTTGTTTCACCGGTTGGTTGCAGAATTCGTTTAAGCATCCAGCTCTTCCTTGCAGGCGGTTCAACTCCCTAGAACCCCAAGACCGAATCTGCCAACCCCGAACCCTAAGTCCTAAGCCCTAAATGGGTATGGGTCAAAACGAAGCCACTAGGATATGGACCTCAGGTTTCAGTCCTTGGTTCCATTTACCAGGGTTCTATATTGGGTACTTATTTTTTTGACCCACACCCACCTAGCCTCCCACCCTTTTCACCTTCAGTCCTAGGCTCCAAAATGGGGCGGTCAAGCCATTTACCCGCCCCACCAGTCTCTGGGACACCTGCCTCGCTCAGGCGGTCTCTTGGCCCAACGGCACTCGCGCAGCCCGCGCGGAGCTCTCACAGGACCTCGGAGTCGAGGGGGAACTTGGGATTGTTGATCCACCCACCACCACGCCGGGGAAACAACACAATACATATATATATAGACATACAGACATATATATATATATATACATATGTATACACATACTCATATATATATAGATAGATAGATAGATAGATAGATAGATAGAAACCCTGCTAGTGGCTGTATACCCTATTACACGCCCGGGCTATTTGGGGTGGCGGAACCGAAGTCAGAGCATAGGGCCCAACACACGGGTGAAGAAAAACCAAAGGGAATCCCAGCGTTTTCGGGGACCCAAAGCTTGGAGCGGCATGGGGTGAGCTTCTCCTATGTGTCAGGTTTGTTTGTTGGGCTGGGCCCCCCATTACACCGCCGTCGAATTCTCTCATTTCAGGGGTCGTCCTGTTTTGACACGTACCCAGGGTTTGTGCCTAAATGGTGTGGAAGGCTCAATGTGAGCTTGTCACTCTGAATGCAACCAGCATTCTAGGTTGTGTTCCCATTAAATCCTTCGAAGTGGGGTTGAAAAAGCCATATGTTTCCCTCCAAGAATCATGCTTTGGGGAAGCCTTGTTCAAGAGGATAGGGGCAAGGCCTTTGGCCCCAACCGTTTGGCCTCGGAAATTTGGGTTCTCAATCCCATTGGCAGCTGGATGGTATCCTTGGTACCACTGGGGCTGGGGCTGGCCATTCGCGTTTCGGACAGGGTCAGCTTCGCGCCGTTTCCCATTGAAGGCTTGAGAGTTCGACTTGCGCGACTGAAGAGGGAACTTAAATGGGTATGGTTCAAAACTAAACCACCAGGGTATGGACCGAGGCCAACCCATTTTGGGGTTACCATATTTTTGACACCAGCCAGATGATTTGAGGGCAGGTGGCACCCAGAATTGATACAGCCCTTTGCTGCTCAAGGGTGTTTGATTCAATGCCAGGTTCTCCTCAAATCCTAGGCATATTCCCAAACATATCAACCCCCTTGCTCTGCACTTTCTCCCGCCTGAATCAGGCATTTGTCGGCCCCCCCATACCTTGAGGTGTCTTGACTTAGTAGACAGAATATGGATAAATATGGACCATTTGAACGTGGTTCTCATGGAATCCTTCGAGGGAAAGGCCAAGTCTTCGCTGGGGAATCTTCGGCGGGCCCCCGAAAAAGGGGCGTGGCTTGCCTCCGGCTCTACTCGTGTCCTCCGTGGAGCCACCGGCGGCCAGCCACCGGCCAGGGCTGGACTCCCGCGGTGGGCCCGGCGCCCAGCTTCGACTTCAGCTCGGCGCAGGAGACGCGCGAATTCGATGCTCGATCCGATCGATTCGGGGAGGAGAACAGGAGCCGAGATCCGACTGGTGGTTTATAGACCATCCAACTCTAGGTCCCCCAGTGCCCTTGTCTCCCCTTTTTTGGTTGGGAGGGAGAACAGAAAAAAGGGGTGCCCTTATTCTGACCTCTCTACTGGAGGACCTAGAACTGGTGGTTTCCCCCCAGAACCGGTTCATTCCAACATTCCCCTATCGCACCGGCAAGCAAGTTTTCGTGTTTTTGGGAGAGGGAGGCTTGAAAGTGCGGGGATGCGCTCCTTCACAACTCGTGGGACTTGGCCGCGTGGGTCTGGTGGCCCTTCTCGTGGCAAAGCAGAGGTTTAGATATCTTTTTGGGTCCATCTGGATTTAGACTCGGGCATGATGCTGCTTCCTGTGCTTCTCTGACCAGGGTACCAAAATAGTCTGGATTTGGTCTAAATCCATTATCTTGGGGTCGACCGCATGGGTTGGTCTGTTTTTGAGAGTTTTCTTTTTGGGGATGGTTTGAACATAAACCAAAAGGAACACCGCAATCCATCTTTGAAGGTCCAACCTCAAAGAAGACACACCCAAATACTTGCTGGTGTTTTCCGGGAACGAGCTCTAAGCGGAACCCCCCTCCCCAAACCGGTTCATGACCGCAGGTCATACGAAGCAGACTCCGAGCCTTCGACCGCTTGGCTCAGCAAGCAGCGAAGCCTTCGATGCCCGCTTTCGTTTTGTCTGAAGACGCGACCCGTTTCTCTTTATCCATCCCAGGGCGTCGGGCCCGATGAGAGAGGCAGAGGCCCAACAACTCCTTGGTCCTTTAGGCTCCTTGAGCGCGTGCGAACGACGGCGAGGGAGGATTCCTAGAAATCGCCAGCGGCCACGAGATGTGGCAAAGGGCAGATGGCAGATAGTAGAAAAAAATGCAGGGAAGGAGGCAGCACGCAGAATCTGCTTTTCAACAGTTGGAAAGAGTGCAGGGGCAGTGGATGCAAGGTGAGGATGAGAGCCCCAGTCGAAGAAGCAACAGCCAAGGAGCTGAGCCACCTTGAGTAAAAGGAAAAAGTCTCCGGGGGGCGTCGGTTTGAACTATGGGCCGCGGGCACTGATGCTGGCACGCGCGAGACACATTGAAAGAATGACTGAGTTTTTTTTTTTCCTGTTGTCGTTTTCCTTTCTTTTCTCGTCGGGCCCCTTGGACGCTTGCCGCGGGTTGCTTGGCGTGTGTGTGGGTTTTCTTTTTCTGTGTTTTTTCCTTGTTTTGTCTTTTCCTTTGTTACTGAACTCATGAAGAGATGAAATGAAGCAGCCAGCTGGCGCATTGATACTCCCTCTCATTGTGCCATCAGTGGACCATCGGCCGCCAACCGATGATCGCGCGTGCTCCAAACCTCCACGTGGTGCGCCCTGGAAACTCACCCCACATACGAGGTAATCGTCGGATCCGGGTCACACGGGAAGGACATGCAGACAATTAGCAACAGAGATGAGGATGGAATCGAACCAAGGAACATCGAACGCGGAACAGACACAAACATCAGGAAAAGACTGACACAATCAGGAAATACATAGGGTGAGGCAAACGTCCCTCCTCTTAATAGAGGTGGTCGGTGTAGACCGACCGACGAGGAGCAACGGGGTAGATACCGGTTGAACATGGACTTGGGAAGACGGCCTCTTGGGGACTCGACGGCCAAACCACTTCCTCTCCGTGCTTCAGCCCTACTCCGGGTAGAGGCGGGTGGGCTCCGACTCTCCGAACTAATTGAGGAGAATGCCGATGGCAGAAAGTGAGCAGACATGGCCGAATCAACTCACGTGATAAACAACAATGAACTCCGCCCCATAGAACGCCATCATGCGCACATCGGCTGCCGTGTAGAAGCTCAAGCACAAATGGCAGGCCGAGCCGGTAGAAAACGCCGCCGAAAAGCGGCCACATACTGGGCCACCCTCGCAGCACAACTACTGACGGGTAGCACACATGAGCAAAGCAGAAATGCGATACTCCGGAAAGCCGACAAACTACGCAAACATAAACGAGTGCAATGGGGAAAGTTCTTAAAGCGGCAAAAACAGACAAGACGAACTCACCATGACATACGCATAGGCACATGGAACACTCGCCGACTGGGCGCTGTGCACGGGCGGGTGGACGTCGCGACCAAACTTCGGCACATGGCAGAGGTCTGGCAGTTGCGAAAATGGGACGCAGCGCTACTACAAGATGTAACGCTGGGTGAAAGGGGACGAATGACGTTTAGCACAAAGAAGGAAACATGGACGATCATACACAGGGGAAAAGTGGCAATAGCACTGGGAACAAAGCTCACAATGGCATGGGAACGCGGAGGCTGCGTAGTTCATACAGACGGAATGGAAGGGACGTGTCGAGTAATCAGTGTACAAATCCCGTGCACCAACAAACGGGGGGTAGCACTGATATCAGTCTATGTACCGAGTAGCGAGGCAAACCGGGAAACCGTAGCGGCAGTCTATGACAAACTCGGGAGGGTCCGGGAACGCAGGCCAGGAGGGTTCCACACTCTCATTGGCGGAGATTTCAACGGGGAGGTCGGAAGCCGCACAAATGGAGAGGAACAGGCGCTGGGACCACACGGACACGGCAGATGCAATGAAAAAGGACGCATGATGTTGGACAGCTGTCAGGCAGAAAACCTGGTGGTGACAAACACATGGACAAGCCAGAAGAACAAGACTACGTGGAGGCACCCGCGATGGAAAAGCGGACACCTGATCGATTACATTCTGGTGGAAGGACCCGCAACTCAACAACGTGAAGAGGGTGCTCACACTGCACGAAGAAGTAGCCTGGACCGGCGGGTTGACCGGATGGGGGGAATATACTGACCACAATCCCGTCGAGATCAGCTTCAAAATCGCGCCGCCACAGGGGATGACTGCCCCCGCGCAACGCGCAAAGCGCTGGGCATGGGTAGCCGGGAGAGGTGATGAACCAGCCGCCAAAAGACTACGCGCGCAGTACGCAGAAGAAATCAAAACGCAGCTCACAGACAGGACCAGCCCCACGCACTGGGACGACATCATAAACGTCACCACAGCGGCCGCCCGAAAAGTGTTTGGCCCGGTCGAGCCCAAACCCCCACGGCCATGGCTAGACGGTAAAGAGGCGGAACTACGCCGGCTCAGTTTCGCGGTGGCCACGGCCAAAGCGGCCAGAGACAAAGCTGAGGAATGGGCCTACAGACAGGAGGAAGATGAGGAAGCCGCGGACTTTTGCGCGCAGGCCTGGAGACTGGTCCAGGCGGCCACGCGACGCAAACGACGCCAACTAAGAGAGTGGGAGGACACATGGTGGAATCAGTTGAGCAATCAGGCCGAGACTGCAGCGGCTAGAAACGACAGCCGGGCACTTTACGACCTGATTAGACAATTGCGGGGGAGGGCGGTGACTCGAGGCCAGCACGGCGGCACACAGCAGCCGGACAACCCGGTTATGGAAGCCCAGGCGTGGAAGGAGCACTTTCGCCGCATACAGGACGGCACACAACCGGTACACGACCGTATCTGGGCCAACGTCGTCGAGCGAGCGGACCGAGCCACATGGATGGACGAAAAGCCGAACCAAGCGGAAATCCAAAAAGCCATAAAAACAATGAAGCTCGGCAAGGCCCCGGGCATTGATGGCGTTACGGTGGAGGCACTACGATGGGCGCCGGATGAAATGCACCATCAGCTATGTACCATCATACAAACAATGTGGATGGACGCGACCAGCACGCAACTCGGACAAGAGGCTCACGACTGGCCAGAGGCATGGAAGACGGCCATTATCGTGCCACTATGGAAACAGAAGCAACCTCGATCAGACAAGAACAACTGGAGGGGAGTTACGCTCCTCAGCGTGGGGGCAAAAGTGGTGGCGCGCATCGTCGCCAACCGGCTTCAGACACACACGGAAGAGTTCATGGACGAGCGTCAACAAGGATTTCGGCGCCATCGCGGCGTTGATGACATTCTGCAAGTTTCCAGACGCATAACTGAGGAGGTGGTGTCATCTGGCCCGACCGAGCCGGTAATCGTAACACTCTACGATATAGAAAAGGCATACCCCCGAGTGAACCGACTGGCACTCTGGACATTGCTCGACAAATGGGGAGCTGGAACAGGCTTTATCCGCGTGTGTCAGGCCCTACACGACTACACGTCGTTTCGCGTGCAGAGCGGCGCTGTCCTATCAGATGGGTATACTGCGGGACGGGGATTAAAGGAGGGCTGCCCGAGCAGCCCTCCTCTTTTCAACGTGTATCACGCGGCAGTGATGGCGGATTACAGGACCCGTCGCAGCAGAGCCGCCGAGGAAACAGGCGCGCAACCTGGGATACAGTGGAAGACCAAGATCACAGGGCAATTTACCAAGCGACAGGCTTGTCTAAACAGCAACCGTCAGATCCGACAGGATATCTTGGGCGACATCCAGTTTGCAGATGACACGGCGACGTTCGCCCAGGAAAGCGAGGCGATCGCGGCGGACAGCACACTGGAAACGACCTTCACGGACTGGGGCGAAAAGCTGAACCGCAACAAAACGGAAACCTTGCGCATCGTCCCAGACGCACGCCCAGAAAAACGAGGACGCGATGCGGACTTGCCCGACACAGTCCGGCACGTAGGAGGCTACCTGTCAGCCACTGCTACGCAATGGAAGGACACCATTCATCGGGGTAGCATGGCCATGCAACGGGCCAGAGCAGACGCCAAGGCGTGGAGCCTCGGAAGCTCCAAGGGCAGGGGCGCTACCAGCGGGATACGGTTCGCAACCAGACTCAAGGTGATGCACAGCATCATCGTGCCGACCCTCACCGCTTTTGGCAGGTCTCGGGCCTGGACCCGGGTTCAAGTTGAGGACTTGCAAACCAGAGAAAATTACGCGATCCAAAGGGCGTTGGGGCTGGACCGTATGGCCATGCATGAGTATCATGTGCGGAATCAGGACCTACACGCCATGGCGCAATGGGAACCCATCGAGAAGGTGTTGGCCAGACAAACCTTGCGATGGATGGGCCATGTAGCACGAATGCCGACGCACAGACTACCTAAGATCGCCATGTGGGGGCATTGGCAGGACGCAGAGCCGGGTCAGTTCGGACCCACGCGACAGCAGAAGTGGTTACAGACGGTGCTAAAACTGGCTGACATACCGGAGCTCGACTGGTTCCGACGCTTGGCGACCTGGACGACCGCCCCCCCTACCGACGCCGCCGAGACTCAGGTTGCGCAGAACGGTGTGGACAAAGCGATCCAGTCAACTGGCGCGAGGGGAATGCCCAGTGTGTAATCACCAAGCGGTCGACGTCCGTCACCTTCGGAGCCATTATGACAGTCAACACGCAGTGTTCGACCCCACAAAGACCACCATGCAAGAACACGTCTGCAAAGAGTGCAAGGGCCGCTTCCCGAACGCCTACGCCAAGACACGACATCAGTGCAGGGGACCCGCAATGGTACAAGAACGGCTACAGCACATCGCGCCAGACATCCCTGAACCGCCGCCTACTTGGCACGTGTTCACGGACGGCTCCGGAGGCGCAGCAGACAGCGAAGGCGCCGGATGGGGAGTAGCCGTGTACGCGTTGCCCGACGGAGTGCGCGCGATTGCTGAATTGCATGGACCAGTACTGACTGACGCTACGGACCAGCGCTATCTGGGGGCGGACAAGGCGACCAATAACACGGCTGAACTCACGGCTATAGCCGAGGCGCTCGTCTGGATCGACACGGAGGCGCCGGGACCGGGAGATACGGCCTTGCATATCTACTACGACTCCCAGTATGCAGCGGACCTAGCGACAGGGCGTACCGAGCCGCGAACCAATCAAGCGCTAGCCAAATCCGTCCAGCAACTGGTCAAGAAGGTGTCAAACACGAGGGACGTCCGGTGGACTTGGGTAAAGGGACATGCAGCGCACCCAGGCAACGAAAACGCAGACCGACTTGCAGGTCAGGGGGCGCGGGGCCAGGTGGGATGCCAGAGTAAGAGATGGACCGAGCCGCACAGCGGCGAATTGACCAAGGAAACAGCGGAGGTCTGCCGACAGTGTGGCAAAGTGTTCCGCCACGCAGATGTGTGTGCGGGACATGAACGAGAGTGCAGTCAGGTGCCGCCGCACAAGTGTCGCAAATGCAACACCGAAGTGGGCACACGAGTCAACCGTCTATACCACGAGGCTCGCTGTAGAGGCGATGCGGAGCTGAACCTGCGATGCACGTTCTGCGATGCACTCTGTCCGACCATGGCCAAACGGACGCGCCACGAAGGCGCGTGCCTCCAACGCGCCCCTACACGAGACGGCGCTGGCCTATACTGGCAGTGCGGGTGCGGGTGGCAGCAAGTGCAACAGGGGCAAACCAAGAAACGACTCGACCAGGCGGTCGAGCGACACAAACGCGGATGCCGAGGAAGTGAAGAACAGAACCTCACATGCCGGAAATGCAACAAAAAGTGGCCGTCTATCACACAACGACAGTCTCACGAAAGCCAATGCAGAGGACCTGGCGATGCGCAGCGAACGTGCTTGTGCTGCAACATCGTGTTTGCAAACGCGCACGATCGAAGCAAACACGAGAGCCGCATGAAGCGACATAATGCGTAAATCGAACAGAAAAAAAGCAGGGAAAGGCAGTCGTGAAGGCTGATCCGTCTTCTGCAATTACTGCCCACTGGGAAAGGTGATCGCTCAATAGGTCTTCCACGATCACGACCAACCCTTGGTTTGCTGGGTCCTGTGTTATCACAGGCGTAGGGCGGCTTCCTCAGGCGCACGGCGGCTCTCCGCTCAGCCCAGGTGTAAGCTAATAGGGCGGCAACAAAGGGAACTCTTGATAGCGTCCTCTGGCGCACCGCGGCTCTCCGCGAAACAAGAGACTCACAACAACAACAACTACACAGACACACCATACACTGACAGCGTCCTTTGGCGCAAGGCGGTATGTTGTTTCCGACCGACCTAGTGCCCTCTGGCACAAAACAGCGTCCTCTGGCGCAGCGCGGCTCTCCGCAAACAGTTCAGCCGCCCCCCGGCGTACCAGGCCGCGGTTAATGTTTCGGATTTGAATTTCTGCCCCGGACCACTCCCCTACCCATTCCCCTAAATGCCCATTTTCGGAGGACTGTGATCTCACTCGAAACGGACGACCGATCCCGCAACTTTTGGCTCCTAGCTGCAAACCCACCAGAGCAAGAGCGCTGCCCAGACTTACGTCACAGAAAATATGGCTGCAGAGGCACAGATGCTGCGCAGGGACACGGATTTCCTGCTCCAACCCTACCGCCTCATTGTCCTGAACCTCCCGAAACTCAGTACTCGCTACAGCGAGCTTCAGGCTAGCCGCCAGCTCCATGATCTGCCGACAGAGGTGCCGGATATCCTACTCCGGGCCCTCATCGCTCAGTTCGGAGCTACCCTGACCCGCCCGGCACCATTGGGGACGCATGCCACCACAGTGCGCGACGGGGTGGCGGGCCATCTGACCGCCAGCTTGGGGCAGGAGGCGGCGCAAGAGCTGGCAGGATGGCTGGTATCCGAGCCGGCCCCCTTGGTCACACTGGCTCGCCACTTGACGCGCGAGACCATCATCGGGGTATACCCGACGGGCCCCAACGCCTTTCTGGTTCGCCTACGCACTGGCATGGCGGGTTGGCGGTCTCCCACGTGGTGACACAGTACTTGCGCACCGCCGAGGGCACACCGGCTGATGCGCTCCGGGTCTTCCTAGACCGGAGGATCAGGGGAGCCGGAGGCGAAGACAAGGGAAAAGGCAAAGGCAAGCAGAAAGGCAAAGCCAAAGGCAAGGCCAACGCGCCAGAGAAGGGCAAGGGGAAGGGGCGCAAAGGCCATGCCAAGGGAAAGGGGAAGGACGGGAAGGACAAGCAGGGCCCCCGCCCCGATCGCGAGCGATCCCGGGGGCGGGAACGACGAGAACGCCGCGACGCACCCCCTGACGCCATTGAGCCCGATGCCAACATGAACGAAGCTGATGGGGTCAGGGCAGCGCTGGACGCGGCACGGGCGGCGGCCGGGGAGGCGGCCGGCGCCCGCCCGTGAAAAGGCGGCCACACATGTTTCACCTTGGGTTTGGCAGGGGAGGCTCGAGCTTCACATGGGCACAAGCAATCCACCACCTCAGCAATAGCCTGCGTTTCCATCTCATCCTTGCTGGCACCCTCTTGTAATGGTTCCAAGGTGTTACCGCCGCAGCACGAGCCCTGACAAACCATCTTTTAATTTTTTTGGCAGATCCAAGCACACCCTGACCCGCCGCCATCCCCTAGATATTTAGACCGTTCATTAGTTCTCTCGCGCTTGACACCCTGCCTACCCACAGTTTTGGTTTCACCGAGATGTACTGTGCCGGCCCTAGCTCTACCTGCATGCGCACTGATGGCGTTAGCCAGGCGCCTTAATGGTGCTGAAGGCTCAACGAACGAACGAACGAACTATGGGCCGCGAGTTGTGAGCTGTGCTCGGGCCAGGAGATCTCTCTGACGCTGACGGCGCGTCAAGCGCCAGGCCGGGGAGTGAAGGGGTGACTCGATTTGCGAGAAAACGGGTGGCCAGGCGCGGGATCGGCCCAGAAGCCGGGCAAAAAAAACGGGTGCCATGAAGAGTTTACTGGGGGAAGTGGCAAAACAAAGGGTTTATTGGCGGAATGGCAAACCAAACCGAATCTGGGACCTCAGACCTACAACCGGCAAGGTGCTTGTTTGGGTAGCTTCCCTGGCGGTGGATGGTCTGAGGCTCCGCGGTTTTTGTTGCCATTTTGACATGTAGATCTGGGGGCAAGCTGTCAGACTGGAAAGAGCAGAGGCCGTGTCTCCGAAAGGGGGGAAGTCGCGGATAGGTCAACAGATCAGAACAGGCTGGCTGGCGAAATTCAAACTACGCATTTTTTTTTACCGAGCTCACCGGACTCCTTGTTTCCAATCTGGGAATGATAGAGCAATTTGCCCTGTAACCACACCCAGGCTTTTTCAGCTCTTGGCTTTTGCTCTCCCTTTCATCAACTGGCTACCCTCAAAGAGGTGCAAGGTTCCAAGGCAGAAGCTGTCAGAGGCATCTTCTAAATGGACCTTTAGGGTACCGAGCCAACATCATCTCCTCAAGAATCGCCGGCTGATTTTGATCAAACGCAGATGGAGCTTTGACGTTTGACCATGCGTTCCCAGCTTCGGTCATTTTGGGCTCCATCACGATCAACCGTTGCGGATTGGCAGCGCCGGGCCGACATATATAGGCCGGTGGTCGGAGAGAAACACATTGGTGGACTAGGCAGAGAGTCTTATTCCGGACACCGGTCCCCCACAAAGAGAGTCCATAGAATTGGGTGTTTTTGCCATGTGGCTGTGGGTCAAAACTTCGTACTTCGTAGTTTCAGTGAACATCCCAATGCACACTAAAATTGACTAAATTGGGTGGTGCACCAACCCCGAAATGGTACCATTGGTGTTGACTTACGGACATGTGGGTCACAAAGGAGTTGGATTGGCTGATCCGCAGCTGAAAATTCCCCAGCCGGCAAATCCTTGCTTGCTTTGCGAAGCCTTTCAGGCATTTGTCACTGGGTCCTTTCGATCAAACCCTCAAATGAGTAGGCTGCGTGGAAGATGTCCAGTAGTCTTTGGTCAATTTGGGGACACAAGTAAGGCCCTTCCATTCACTGATGTTTTGCGATGTTCCAATGCGCTGACAGTAAGAATCTTTTCAGATGGTTCGTGAACATGCGTTTTGGGTCGCTGGATCGCCTCGCTCTCAGGCAGCGCGGTCTTTGGGCACTGGCAGGGCCGGACCTTCTTCTTGGCCTTGCGCTCGCCCGAGGCCGGGTGCATGCCGCCAAAAGCATGCCGCAGAGATCGGGGAGTAGAAGGGCGTGGGTTTTGCGGGACCCTCATACTACCTCTGATGTCTCAAGGGTTGTGGCCGGGGTGTGCGCCAGAGTCAAAGTAGATGGTGCAATGTCCTTGTTTGTAAGAAGGAGGGTGTCAGATAAAGGTCTGGTTAGTTGGCTCATCAACCGTAAATTGTTGCTTCATTACTTGACACCGTTCACCGCTTTGGTTGCCTGAATATTGTTTTTTTTCTCCCCCATTTTATGTATGCAACTTGAGCGAGGCCTGCCAGAACCCAGCTTTAGCCAGGACCCGGGCCTTACAATCCCAAGGTGTCTTCATTGGGGTCTTGTGTTAGGGGACGACTCTTTGGATTTCTTCCCAGACCCAAAATGGCGCCCATCATACTCCCCCCCCCACCCTAAAATATTAATACCCTAAAGAAATACCCTAAGTGTTCATCATGCCCCCCTCCCCGTTTTTCTTTGTTTTGGATGGGGTCTTCCATGTAAAGCTAACCATCCGCCAAGCAGTGGAACAGGCCGGCGGACACCGCAGGGCAAATTCTTCCGGTTTTGTTTGACCGATCCTTTCCGGAAGCCGAAAGCCACCCAGAAAAGGCGGTGGGGGGGGGGGGGTGCGGGGGGTCGGGGGGGCGGCTGGTTGAAAGGAGGGATGAGTGGAGAGAATGAGCCAACCTTGAGTTGTGTACAGAAGATGTAAAAGCCTCTAAGGTGGGAAACATGGAGCAGCACTCAACCCTTGCACCAGGGAGCAAATAGATGGGACACTTCCCTTTAAGTAGATGACTGTCATCCAAAGTGATGGAGCCGTGTCAGGAAACGTGAGGGCCAACAGAATTACTAATATTCTAGCGCCATACTTATGTCTGAATTCGGGTTTCAAGGCACCCAACCCCAAATTCGCACAAAAGCCCTTGAGGAAACCTGTCAGTCCCAACTGAACCTTTCTGGCTCGTGCGCTTGGCGATGCCCCGGAGGAAAACCCCTTGGCCCCGGAGACGGTTGGGGTCGCCTTCCTATGGTTGCACGCGCTCACTCGGAGGATGTTAGGCATCTTCACAAATTCCCCAAGACCAATGCCCCACTCGGAATAGAGCAGGGGGAACTTGATTTTGTCTACCAAGAGTGTCCAAGGGCGCCTAGGTCGCATGAAGAGACAACACCTCTATCAGATTTCCCTCGGCCACGTTTACTTGAATGGCGTGCTTTAGGGGGGAAGTGTAAGGACTGCCTGCGTCTTCAGGAAGCGGTTTTGTGAATCCGCGACGCGGCATTTGGTCCACTTGCCGTCGAGTTGGAAAGCCTTCGAAGGTTTCCCACATCGGGATGTGTTTGCAGGGTTTAAAAGGAGCCTCTACAAGTTCACCAAACGGCTCCGTCCTTTTTTCAGGGTACCTGTTTTTTTTGGAGGATGCAGGGTACACTTTGGAGAAATCCCCAAACCTCAAGACAAAGGGTACACCCCCACCACGCCCACAGCACAAGTTGCGCTTTTCGCTTTTTGCCAACTACAAGGGTCCCCGAAGCTCATCGTGGCTGGACTGGGGCCACTCCTTGGGCTTGGGAGAAGGCGGTGGGGAGGACAATTTGGCGAACTCTGGCTGGTCTTTGGGACAAGTTCCAGGGGTGTGGAATTTTATCCAGGGAGAATCCTGAAGCTTCTTCGTTCCCTGGCGTTTCAACAGAGGGGCTTGATTTTTTGGGCTGCTTCTAGGGGTACTCAAAGTCAGCGAAAAGGGGGTTGTTTCCCTTCGACCCACCACTTAGGCGACTTTGGTCGTGGCAAAAGGGGAGCTCCGAGCAAACGGAAGTGGCTCTCAGGCCAGCGCTCCCTTGCCGCGCGCCGGACATCTGCATACTCCGCATGCCGCGCAACTAGGCGCACGGGGTGAGCGACCAACGCCGATGCCTGGCCCTCTTGATGGTATAGATTGAAGGGTTACCGGTTTGGGGCCCAAAAGGAAACAACAAACCGTCCAAGTGCGCTGCTCGCACATTTTCACGCTTGAACAGCCACACTGCGGATGCAATGGATGTAAAACCCCATACCGACCGATCAAATTCTTCACCCCCCTCTGCGTGTTAAAGGGGCCTTTCACAAAGCAGCCAAACAGTAACACAACAGAGGGAGAAGGTCAGGGGAACCATTGTAACATGCAAACCATGACAGTTGCGCTTTTAGCGCCACTGCCACGTAGAGTAGTTTCCGCTACTGTTGTCCCATCCGCTCCATCCGGACCAATTCTGCCAGCTGCCTTGGCTCCAATGCTCACCCTCGCGGGCGGCGGGAGCACGTGTGTCGGCATATCGAGCGGCATTGCGAGCGAGGTGCTTGCTGCTCTCGTTCCTCGAAAATTCGATCGAGTTACGAGCAGAACGCTCATTCTGGCTGAAAATCCAGTCCATCTCGTTGCGGAGGTTGTCCAACGTGTTGCTTCGCAGATGGATGATGCCATTCCAACAACCAATGCTGCGAGGCTTGTCTTGCTCAAAGACCACGTTGATAAAAGCTCTTGGGCTGTAAGGCATCCCTTGGAACATAATGATCCAGCGAGAGGAAAGCGCATCTTGAAGTTCGTTGGGCAAGAACTCCAACTCAGTCTTGATGTACGCGAGCCTTGCGATTCGCGACTCCGAAGTTGATCCAAGGCCAACTCCCAGAGTGCGCTGGGCTTGCGACTGCTTTGGAGCAGCCAAGACGAGATTTGCACTCAACTCCATGCGGAGCATGTCCGCCTCCCGACGGCCCACCTCAAGCATACGAACCCTGTATTGAAGGTCGAGTTCATAGCGATCAAGCAGAGAGTGGTAGCCGTTCTTCAGGGCGGACTTGTGCTTCTTCCGGGCCTCCTGAATAACAGCACTGTCCGGGGAGTTCAAGCCACGAATGATGCTGCTACGATCCTCCTCGCGGAGGTCAAATGTTCCCACGGATGCCAGGACCTGAGCTGTGACATGGGTGCTGAGGCCCATCTTCTTCAGCAAATTGGAACGCTGCACAATGTAATTCTTTTGCTGCTCTTTCAGCAGGCGAGGATTGAGGGGAGACAACTGCCCACATGATGAGCAGTGGACCTGCCCCTCGAACACACTGTTGTTGCAAACCGGGCACGTGGCGACATTCAGCTCAACGTTCTCCATTGGGTTGAAAGTCTTCTGTCTCTTCGCTTCCCCTTGCGGGGCGCGAGGAGACGCCACATTGGTGCGGGTTGTAGCAATACGTTCCAGCGCTGTAGATCGATCATCAACCACGGCTTGGTCGCGCTTCATCCCCTGGGGTTCATCCTCAGTCGCCTCAGCTGGTGCACCTGCATCCGATTGCTCGGAGCGAGTGTACCATACGTCGCCATTTGTAGCGTCCAATACAGAAATAATCGTGTAGTTGGGCACCTTGTCGCGCGTAAGGACGCCATCGCTCTCCGTCTTGAAAAAGCAAAGCCCTGCGCGAATGGCCATCCTGAGGTCGATCTGTATTTCCAGAGGCTTGTTTGCACGTACACCTGAGATGTAATTTTCATTCGTGCTCGGAATGTCAGCGAAGAAAACGTGAGGTCTGCCTGTCTCGTGCTGGTCCCCTCCTCCTGGAAGCAGTCCGTTTCGCATAATGTTGGCGAAGTTCCGCTTATCGTTGCGGTGATAGAGCACCGTAGGAGGGTTGCTGCATACGTTCCAGCCAGACCAGCGCCCGAGGTCAGTCCCCGGGTTCACGTACCACTCCTTCGCGATGCCGGAGTCGTCGATTTGGAGCCAATCCTCATGGCCTTGAGAGGCCTTCACCTTGAAAAGCCAATGAGAACATGGGACGTCTCCGCACCGGCTTGCGTCCGGGCAACCAAGCGCAATGAACCTCTGCTTTTTGTCCAGCTTGAAGATGTCCATGATATTCTGAATATTCCATGGAATGGGATGTCGCAGCTCCTTGCGAAGCGCGAGTTCCAGGTCTTCGAGGTCCATGTAGCCGTCCTCATCCATCACGTACCCGCACCCTTCTGTTCCACGACCACGGAGATGCACGTCAGGGAACTGTGGTACTCGTTACTGATTCTCCTGACGGAAGGGTCGTAATCGAAGAGGGCTGCTTGATGATGTCGAGTCTCTTGGGGCCCTCGCCGTAGTCGACATACTTCACGCCATCATGAATGCTATACACCCAGCAGTCATAGTGGCCCCCAGTCACGCTCCTCCCATAGGAGTCGAGTGGTGTTAAAACCCTCTAGGCCCCGTGCCGAAATTGGGTAGCAGTTCTGAGGTCCTTGTTGGTGTTGCTTCCCAAGTTCCATTGATCGCCATTTGGCTCAAGACACAATTGAGGTTCAAGATCTGATGTGTGACTGCGGATATCCGTGATTGGCACTAGGAGGAAAACAACTGCCTTGCGCCGCACTGTCAGGACTACTGGTGTGACTATCATCCCTTCTTCCTTACAACGTTTACACGGGTTCGGCTATAACGGCAACGTCCGTATACACCTTTCTACGTGGTTGGTATTGAAGCTTGAGGGTTCGGTGCACAGCGTCCCACGGGACGTCACCTTGCCGTCTCTTGACAGGTTATCAGCCGTAGGAACAAGCTCTACACTGGACTGGGAGACAGCTGGTTTATTGCGGGTACAGGGACAATAAAGGAACGATAACCTACACAGTACAATGGCGTCTTCGGCGAGCCCAAGTACTGCAACTTTTGGGAACAGCAGCTCAGAGGGATCCAATGGATTGATGGCTCTTCCTGCGGTGATGGATATGGTTGCGGATTCACAGGATGAACCTGGGAGCGGAGGTTCCGCGCTATTCAGCGACATATCTACTCCCACAAGATCATGGAAGCAGATCGATGTTCATCAGGAGTCGAAGAAAAGAGAATCCCCACCGAGAAGATCATCATCTTCGCCTGCGACACCACGGACGTCGCAGAAGGGCGTGAGATCGACATCGAAGGGTGGGAGGTCAAAATCACCCACCAGTGCAGATTTTCGCGCCGTGATCAAAGAGAAGAATAAGATGGAGGTGGAGATCGGGGAATATCAGAAGACACTTGATGAAATGTCGGCAGCAATGGCGAATCTTAACCAAGAAGACTATGGAAGCACCATCCGGATCCAGGAGCTGGAAAGACGATGCGAGATTGCCAGCAAGCAGTCGGGACATCTAGTGAGTCACCACCAACACCACATGGCTGAGGCATGGCGCAAGTTTGAGGAAGAAGCCCAACAGATGCGCAAGGTGGAAATGAACGCATTTCAGTACGGGGAGAAGAAAGACATGGAGTCGAATATTATGATGCAACAGATGAGGCAAGCTGAAGGAACTATCATGGAGCAGAAGCGGGAGATTGCATTGATGAATCCTACATGGCAAGCGAGAAATCGGCCGCGCAGGAATCAGCTATACGTGCAAATCAGATACACCGTGAGGCTTCACAACAGATATCAGCTTATCAGCAACAGATCAGAGGCATAGAATCTTCTACATCTATCGAGAAGTTCAACGAGGAGGAGATGGTCCAAAGTCTGAAATCACAGTTGGAGCATGCACTCGTCAAGCGCCCCGAGACGTACTCTTTGGAGGACTCCAGGGAACAGCTGATGACGAGGCTGAATGACGTTACAGTATTTGCGGAACAGGAATCGAAGAGAGCAGATTGCTTGCTTCGTGAAAAGGAAGAGATCGTCAAACAGTATGAGTCCGACGTGTCGATGAAGGACCAGATGATTGCTGTCGAAGGTGGTCATCGTCAGGATGCGATCTTGGAGTTAGCCCAGGTCAAAGAAGAGAAACAAGAGGAACGGTGCACGATGGACGAGAAGTCGAAGGAGGCTGAGTACTGGAGATTGACAGCTAAGGGAATGTACGATGAGTACCTCGAGGAGATGCATGAGCTTCAGGGACAACTGAAGGAAAGAGAGGCGACGCTCAAGCAAGAAGAGAGTTTTGTACGCCAACTCGATGCTGACAACGAGGAACTACGTGCACACAAGAAGCTGGAGATGCAGGAAGCCTCCAGCAGCAAAGATGGACATCGTGAACGAGCAGTAGTGAAACGCGCTGAGGGAGGAACCCAGGCTAATTCAAGTAGGATAGACAAGAAGGTGGCTGGGTTCAGTCCCGTCATCGTCTTCAAATCAAATCCCTAATTCGTCGCTGATGCCAGGTTCGATCCTCTTTCCGTCTTTCGGTGATCCAATGATCGATGTACACCTATCCCAGATGCAAGGGGTTGTTGGGCATGTCCCACAATCCACTACTACGACTGGTGGTGGTGATGGAGGGGGAAACAACGGTACTACGCCCCCATTGGATTACGGTGGATTCCCGCCCAATGGGAATGGGCAGGGAGCGGGTCGACGTCAGTTGAGCCTCGCTGGTGGCGGAGGAGGACCTCCGGATGATCCACCCGATGATGAGGATGAGGATGACGACGACGAAGGAGATGAGGAAGACGAGGAAGAAGAAGAGGAAGAAGACGATCGGACACGGAGGAGACGAAGGAGATCGAGAGATAACCGAGAGATCAAGAATGATCGACCGAGAATCTCGAGGAAAGAGGCCGAGAGAGTATCTATTCCGGCCTGGCCAAAGATCCATCAACTTGACACCTGGAAGATGCAACTGCTGATGAATGTTCTGAGCGCATGTGCAGATCCAGATACCGACGCATGGACGAAATGGCTGGAGCAGGCTCTTGGGTTGAACCCAGACCTGGATTTGCTTAGCGATTCAGGTGGCGACAGATTTGCTACGATAGATATTAAGATGGCCATGGGCATGCAGAACATGCTGAAACAAGCACCTGACGAAGCCAAGGACGTATACCTCGATGCTACACGACACTCTGAACTACGACATCAACAAGGGGTGATCGTGAAGGGACGAGAGTTGGTGG